CATGCCACGCGCAATATGGCAATCATTGGGCGTCGGCTTGCATTCGGATCACAAGCTCAACATGGAATCGGTAAATACATCGCGCGACACTATGCTTGGCGTCATCGAGAATGTCCCACTCGACTTCGGCGGCAGTCCAATGTACTTCCAAGTACAAGTGACCAACCGTGCGACGTTTGAAGTTCTGCTCAGTCGCCCATTCTTCAAATTATCATCATGTTGCACTAACGATCTCCCTAACGGAGATCAAGATATTGTTATCACAGACCCGAACACGCGCAAGGAGTTGCGCCTCCCAACCATTCCGTGGGTCAAGCGCTGCGACCATTGTCTCAATGGCGAACACTGCGCTGAGCACTCCGCAAAGGCGAAAGCCAAGGAGAAGGGTTTTTAGGTATCGATGATCTGCAGTTGCCGCAGGGAGACATCTACCCGCCATTGTTATATTCCGCTAACCATGTTTCTTCTTCACATTATGTCTCGCATTCCCGTTCAAGTCCCAAAGCGCTGCAATATGCATGCGCCAAGGGCAAAGCATTTCCGCTCTTAAGGAGCAATATTGCATCGTTTTCTGTATCATCGCATCGTCTGCCGCACCTGTTATCTGTTTCTCCTTCGTCTCCGCTTCAATTGGCGCATTATGCGCAACTAACGTCCACCAGATCTGCCATTAATAAGGTGAACATCGCCGCTTTCAATGAGTGGTATTATTATGACTGCGATTTGCACGCGCTGGTATATAAACCAGTCGCGAAGAAAGTCTGCACGGTACTGACAGCTATGCTGGCCGAGTATAGAATTGTGCAGCAATTGCCTGAAGACCCGCTCGCTGGCTTGCCAGAATTACCCGCTCACCCTCCTGATTTTGTCCCAGGTACCTGCTTCACGAAAGAAAGAGCCGACAAGCTCGATCTTGATCCCACCAAATGGCTATGGCCAGAGGAACTCAAGCTAGTACGATGGCTTGTTCTCGTACACGAACTCGTGTTCACTTGGTGCGCCACCGAGCACGGCCGCCTTGATGAAAAATATTTCCCGCCATATAAGATACCTACAGTCCCGCACACGCCTTGGAATCAGCGCAACATTCCGATCCCACCGGCTATCGTCGGCGAAGTCATTCGCATTGTCAAAGAAAAGATCTCGTCAGGCGTGTACGAGCCATCAACAGCCGCATACTGTTCGAGATGGTTTTGCATCATAAAGAAGGATGGAAAGTCGCTTCGGCTCATCCATGACTTGCAGCCGCTCAATGAGGTAACAATTTGAGATGCGTCACTACCGCCGTTCATAGAACATTTAGCCGCTGCCTTTGCGGGCTATGCGATCTACATGATCCTTGACTTATACATGGGTTATGACCAGTGAGCGCTTCATATTGATTCACGTGACCTGATGACCTTTGGGACGCCGCTAGGCCCCCATCGGCTAACCACATTACCGCAAGGACATACTAACGCCGTGCAGGTATACCAAGGGGATACAGCTTTTATTTTGCAGCACGAGATTCCAGAGTTCACATCGCCGTTCATTGATGATGTGCCGATCAAGTCAGTCAAAATGCGCTACCAGAATGCTGATGGCACATACAAGACTATACCCGAAAATGCCAGCATCTGCCACTTTGTCTGGGAGCACCTCATCATAGTCAACTGCATCCTTCAGCAGCTGGAAAACATTGGCATGACAGTATCCGTGACAAAGTTTGTATTAGCCGCGCCATCGGCGGTAATTGTCAGGCATAAATGCACGTTCAACGGCCGAGTCCCAGAAGACTCCAAAGTCGAAAAGATTCATAATTGGCCAGAGCCAAAAACTCAGTTGCAAGTGCACGGGTTCTTGGGCACATGTGGTGTCCTCCATATATTCATCCATGATTTCGCGCACATCGCGCGACCGCTTACTAACCTCACCAGGAAAGATGTACCATTCAAATTCGAAGACGAACATCGCGAGGCAATGGACTTACTCAAAGCCGCTATCGTTAACTTGCCAGCATTGCGCCCGATTGACTATGAGAGCAGCCAAGAAGTTATCCTATCGGTTGATATGTCCGCCATTGCCATTGGCTATATCCTGCTGTAAGTCAGCGAGGATGGCAAGCGCTATCCAAACCGCTTCGGCTCTATCACGCTCAGCGAAGTCGAAAGCCGCTACTCGCAAGCGAAGCTCGAGTTGTACAGACTCTTCCGCGTGTTGCGCGCCGTGCGCATCTTCATTTTCGGCATCACCAACCTTACGGTTGAGGTCGATGCAAAGTATATCAAAGGTATGATTAATAATCCGGACTTACAGCCTAACACGACCATAAATCGGTGGATCGTGGGTATCCTTTTGTTCCCTATTAATCTCGTTCACATACCCGCCGCAAAGCACAAAGGCGCCGATGGTCTCTCAAGGAGACCGGCCGCTAAGGATGATGTTCCTGAAGTTGATGACCATGAGGATTGGCTAGACCGAGCCTATTCTTTTGGTTTGACTTTGCTTAATGACCGCTGTAGGGATTCATTTCTGGCTAGGCTTGTAGAGACTGTCTTTACCTTACCTTATGTTGGCACTTTGTAGCTTACATAATCAAGTTACCTTTTCACCAGTTACCAGTATGAGTCTGAGTATTCAGCAAGTTTCTATCATATTTCCTCTTCTCTGAGCCTTGAGCCTGGTCCACAAACCCTTTAGGGTTGAATAGCAGCTAGGTTCTGCAAGACCCAACATTGTTCAGACTCACCATCTGAATTGTTGTACCTTCACCGCGCATTCACAATAGAATCTGCTGGGGCACATATCACACGAGCAGCGCGCCTAGCGCCGATCGTGATGCCGCCAAATCACTTACCTATCCTCTGTGTCTTCCTAGATGTTGTCGCTCCGTCAACCGACGAGCAAATCATTCCGCGCTCGGAAGCTGCCATCATGCTAGACGCAAAGCTCCTGACCCTCAAACAGTTCCTGATAATGCGCAAGCGCCCATCAGGATTGTCGGACGAAGATTACACCATGATGGTCAACCAAGCAGCACAATTCTTTGTACTCGATGGCAATCTATGGCGCCGCAAGCGCCATGGTAAACACCAACTCGTCTTGATACTGCCGAAGCGCTATAGCATTCTCAAACAAGCGCACGATGACCTAGGTCACAAGGGAGTATACGCGATTCGCATTCGGCTAATCTTATGGTTTTGGTGGCCATTCATGATGAATGACATCAAATGGTACGCACGCACATGTCACGAATGCCAGATAAGGCAGACACGCAAGCTTCATATCCCGCCGATGATACCGACACCCGGTGGTTTGTTCCGCAGAGTGCATATTGACACTATGAAGATGCCCCAGGTGGGCGGCTTCGAGTATCTTGTCCAAGCGTGTTGCGTGCTAACATCGTATCCAGAATGGCGCATGCTACGCAAGGAGAATACCAGGTCGCTAGCAGCTTTCATCTACGAAGAGATCCTCTGTCAATGGGGTCCGGTGACCGAGCTGATTACTGATAATGCACCCGCTTACAGACTCGCCGCTGATATGTTAGCTGAAAAATTTGATGTCCATCCGATACATATTTCGCCATATAATTCACAAGCGAACGGCATAGTCGAGCGGCGCCATCATGACGTTTGCGAAGCTATCATGAAGACATGCGACGGCAATGACCTACAATGGCATCAAGTTGTTCATTCCATTTTCTGGGCTGAGCACGTCACCATTCACAAGTCTACGGGTTTATCACCCTACTTTATGGTGCACGGCATAGAGCCGATATTTCCTTTTGACCTTGCTGAAGCTATGTTTCTAGCGCTGACACCTGCGCGTGGCGTATTCACCACCGCTGATCTTATAGCATGGCACGCTCGCCAATTACAAAAGCACATCAAAGATCTTAGTGAGATCCAAGACAAGGTAGTAAAAGTGTGCTTCGCGTCGATCCGCGACTTTGAAAAGCGCTTCCGAAATACCATCCATGACTATGACCATGCGCCCAGCACCTTAGTGTTGGTGTGCAATTCCAAGGTCGAGTACGAGTTGAGCAAGAAGACAAAGCCGTGGTACTTGGGACCTATGATCGTAGTGCGCCACACGAAGGGAGGCTCATATATCCTGGCCGAGTTGGATGGCACTATATCACTCTTATGCTACGTGGTGTTTCGCGTCATCCCCTATCACCCGTGCAATGGTGAGTGCGTTATGGTAACAAGCATCACCGGAAAAGACGACGAAGCGCTAGATCAGCTAGCCAACGAGGACATTGAGGAACCAGACGAAGACGAACCAGAACGTGCGCAAGATGACTAGTGCATACACCCCTTCCCGCATACCACCCAACACTCTACATGTAAATCACCACTCCCGCATCGATAAAACCGAAAATACCAAAAACATCAAATAACAAGAAAACCGCAAAAACATACCGCTATAGTACATACTCTCTGTTTTACCCTGGGTTTCGGCCGGCGACCATTTTCTCTCATTCTCTCATATAACCGCACATAAGCGCATTGACCGCACATATTCAACAGACTCTATCGCTATCGCACCGCAAAACAATAATAAAGAATCAAGTATATATAACGCATATCATTTCAGTAGACGCGCGCACATAACTAACCCCCTAGACCATTCTCCTTCTAACGTGCCGCGCACATTTTACTATAGACTTACAGATCTCATCTCTAATCAGCCGCACCATCAGCGGCCAAAGCAGGAGTAGACGCAACAGCCGCACGAAGAAGACAAGTCGGGTGCGCAACCCGCAAATGTTCCGTATTCATTTCCAATTATTTTCCTTGTCGCTGCACTCAATTAATTATTACCATTTTAATCCATCTATAGCCCAATGGACTTAGCGGATTCGGACATGGACTTAGGATCGGACAAGGAACAGAACACGACAGGACTAATCTATTGAGCGCACCAGGCGCCAGAAGGAAAAGAGAGATGCTATAGTACAGGGCGCTTTAGTGCCGGCAAGAAATTCTAATCTAAAGAGTACTCTAAAAATCCCTCTACTCCTCCAGGATCTCCCCAAGCTTTTTCTCCCAAGTTCCCCAGTCGCGCGCAAAGGCATAAAGCTGGTTGCTCATATGCATCAACTCGGACTCTTGCGTGCAAGAGTGCTGGCGGATATCGGTCAGCGCGGTGCAGTACTTATCGTTTTGAGCGCGAAGCTCGGCATTCTGGGCGCGAAGTCGCGCAGCTTCTGCGCGTGCCTCTTCCAACTCCAGGTCGGCCTCCAGACGAGGACATTTCGCCGCAGGAGCAGCATCGGGGGCGAGTGCACGCTTGGGGCGCTGCACAATGATCTCCTTAGCAGGAGCAGCTACAGATTCATCAGCCAAAGCCTCACCCACAATCTCCACTTCCGACTCACCGGTGTCCGGTGCAGTCGTTTGCACGGAGGGTGGCGCCTTGCACTTGGGCGCAGCCGGCACGCGTCCCTTGTTCTTAGCCGCGACTAAAAAAAACCGCATCAGTATAAAGTGTAAGCAAAAGGGGGGACAGCACAGACTCACCAAATGAACAGCCTTTCTGTGCCTTGATGCACCCTTCGCACCTCCCACCCGCATGCACGACGACGCACTTGGCGCCGGACACGGCGCAGCGTTCACAACGCTCAGCAGGATGGGTAACCGAGGACACGGTCATCCACCCACCCAAATGCTAGAAGGAAAGTGTCAGCGCAACTGAAAAGTCAGAAAGAAACAGGAAGTAAGACTCACCGGTTGCCCCATATCAGTCGGACCAGACCCCGCCACCTTCTCAACTGCCTTCTCCTCTGCCGCAATGACTTCCTTACCCTTCCCCTTGTCGGCATGCGCTGGGCGCATGGTTACAGCAGACTCTTCTGCCTTCTCCTTCCAGCTCTTCACGGCTCTCGTCAGCGTCCTTGCGGCAATTTTGCCCTCGGCCAATGTCACCGCATCCATGTCGTTAAGAGACACGTGCAGCGAAGCTGCACGCGCCCGCTCGTATACAGCGGTCATATCAGACTAAAAGCGAATCATTAGCAAAAAAGTAAAGCACAAAAAGAAACACACCACTCACCATTGCGACATTCCAGTCGCGAAGCCAAGACTCCTGCTCCTCCAAGAGCTCTGGCTTGGAAGTAGGAGCAGTCTCAATGCAAACGCGGACAGTGTTAAGCATGGCTGCCCACGTGCGATCGATCCGGTGAAGGTTCAACGATACAGCTAGGCACGAACAGTGCTCCTGACTGTATCTATAATTGTTGTAAGGTCGCGCGTTGCCTAGTCTGCTATACTTGAGACAACAAGTGCGTTCGACCCTAAAGGGGAAGCGAGTGCAGCAAGGATCTAGAGGTATGCGCTGAAAGCGCTACTGGTTGGCCAATGCGAAGCGCGAGAAAGCGCAGGTGCGCGCGAGGCGCGGGAATGCGCGCGTGTATGGCACGAAGCGCGGGAAAGCATGCGCGTGTATACAGATATGAGAGAGAGTAAGAGTGAGTTTGCTTAAGTGATGGTATGATGTAAGACAAGAGAAGAGAGATGCGAGGTGTAAACAAATAGATTTCTACTATGTTCTGCTAGGTGAATAGTGGGTAGTAACCAGTAAGTCCTCTGTCGTTCTGGTGGGAGAGTAAGTTTTTTTTTTGTAAGTATGTACTGCTGGCGCTTAAGTATGGCGCCTAAGCGCTGTCATGCGGAGCCGAAGCGCTACCGAGTAAGGTATGTAAAGATATATGTAAGTAAGGGTCCATGATAAAAATAAAGATGGAACGATATGCAAATGTGAGAAATGGAAATATACGCACTAGGGAACTTGGTGGACAGTGGATGGATGCTTCTGGATGGCTGGCGCTATAGGGCGCTCAAGCGCGGGAAAGCGCGCGCGCATATACATCGTGAAGCGCGGGAAAGGTACGCGCGCATGGCACGCGTTGCGCGGGAAAGCTGCGCCTCATATAGAGATAGCTGCGGGTAGCACACAGAGTGATGCTACAAGTTCGTGCCATGTACTCCCCAGTGAAAACTGCCATATTGCACAATGAGAGGCATGAGTCTCTACACCGGTCGGATTCGGATTCCTCAGGCTCCTTTGGAGCCGCATCATCGAGAGTGGCATCGTCGATGGACGCGTTGCCACCCTCTAGCAGGCGCTCCTCAGGTTCGGGTGAGGGAGAGGGAGAGGGCGAAGCAGTAAGCATTGAAGGGTTAAAGATGACTGATGACATGGTAGATGATGGAAAAGATTATTGCGAAGTGGCGAATGAGAAGTTAAGAAGGAAGAGAAGCGCAACACACGACACGTTTTAATACATCAAAATTGGCCACAGTTCCCACGGTTGACGCTCCACATATCCGCGGTCCACTATTGTGCTCCACATCCAGCGCGAAACACACACGATCACATGACTTATCTCGTCAAAATTTCGCTAAGTCCCTCCGCTCTATAGAGGCTGACTGGGGACAGTCAGGATTTAAAGTTTGTATGTGATGTAGGACTTGTAGTCCTTGTAGCCTCATAGAGGCTATTTTTGCAGTGTCTCTCAGGTCCTAGCGCAGCGCGCGCTATCACTACCATGGCGCGCACCCTTCCTATCGTCGGCCGACAGCCGCGGCTCACACGCACGCTTCGGTTCACATCCGCTTTTCGTCAGTTCCGTCGCGCATCCTCCTCCGTCCTATCCATGTCCTCTGCTTGTTCATTGGTGCGTATTTTATCTCATTCGCGTTAGACTGATCATATTTTTGGAGGTGATATCGTGTATGTTTCGTTACTTGCATTATAGACCCTTAATACGTATTACCGTTATCTTCTCGGTTCCGAACAGCGCTACGCGCGCTACAATATATACTTTAGACTTAGGAATTTTCATGTATCTTCTTTTCCCACTATCGAAATTATCATCCGTTTGCATGCAAACACTCAGACTCAGAATCAAAAAGAAACCTTCGGCCGACTACATCGCGCACTGTATTAACGGTTGCGCTATCATTCACGCATCACTCATCGCTTCTATCGTTGGAACTCTCCTCCCTCTTTATCGTCATGTCGCATCTTCCTCGCATAGCCGCTAGACGCACATCTATATAAACCGTCGGCTTTCCTCTGCACCTTCACGCTCCATCAAACTTTCGGCCGCTCGGTCGCACATCGTATCACACCCTCGGTGGCTCGCTCGCGCTCGCGTCGCTTCAAGCACAATGTCGCGCACTCTTCCATTCTCAGTTACTCTTACCAGTTTCTAAGTTTCCCCTCCATATTTTTACTTAGAGGAATCATTCTCAGTAGCAATCCCCTTGGGCTGATTCTATACTCATGTCCAGAGGTCTATTTTAGTTTTACCCCACTTCACCCTTTCTCCCCCTTTCACCCCTTCTCATCTAGCTATCATTCCTCACACACATCGGATCGCCTGGGTGCTCTGCACCTGAAGCCGAGCACAGCTACTTCCGTAATCAAAGGCAAGATATCAAAGAAAGCATCCACATTGCCTCCTTCTGCGACATCTCTTGCTGACAAGTCTGATGATGAACCAGACATAGCTGCACCTGTCCACCCCCAGCCTCCCCCCTCCTGAGAATTCAAAGTCATTAAGTGCCCCATGGGCCAGAAGAAGGTCGACAAGGAGGTCATTTCCTTGGTGTCTAGTGATACTCTGTCTGGCTCAGAGGACAACCTGGAGGAATCAGTGGTTCTCAACTCCAATTACCAAGATGATATTTCCTCCAAGAAGCGAAAGGCAAAATCTGAAGGCACCTTGCGAGCATCCAAGAAGAGGTCACCATCTGTTGTGCCTGCAGAGAAGGCAGTCTTGGCAAAGAAGATGAAAGGTAAGGTACCCGTGAGGCCTAAGGCCAAGGTGCCTGAGAGGAGAGCACTGTCAAGGACTGCTGAGTCCTCCAGTGATGAACATATTCAAGATGTGATGGTACAAGGTATGTTTTTTCCCCTTTCATTTTCTTCTATAAGGCGATTGATGTATGTTTAGCTCAACCTGCTAAACATCTGCATGATGGTCTGTCAGCCCAAGGTATAAATTTGTTGACTGAATTTCCATTCACTAACACAATCCTTAGGGCATTCTGTGACTGCAGTCGATTTCATTGTGGATAATGATGCCACTGCTCCTAGTGGTAGTGCCATCACAAGCAACACTGATGCTACCAACAGCGTCCCCACACGTCCCTTGCCTCCCTCACCAACTCTTCATCATGCAGGATCTCTTGTGCCAGCTTCTAAGTTGCCTGTTGTGCGACCTCCATCCCTGCAGCGTGAAGAATGTCTGGTGCCAGCAGCTCAGGCACCTGTTGTGCAACCACCTTCCATCCAGCATGGGGCATCTCTTGGACCAGCAGCTAAGTCAGCTATCATGCAACCTTCATCCCTGCAGCCTGCAGCAATTCAAGACCAACCCATTGGGTGCAGAGAGCCTGTCATGGGGATGCCATAATCCTATCCTGACCAGCGTACAGAATCCGAGATGGTGGCTGCACCCAACGACAGAGACTTTGATGTCAAGAGTCACCCCATGACACGGGCACATGATGCAGACATGAGACCAGGTATGTATGGTCCACACCCAAGGGGTCCAATTCCATCATGCTATGGACAAGGCTTTGCCCATTACCCGCCGCCCAAATATTACCATGATTCTCATATGGCTCATGCCCCTCAGCCCCCCCATGGTCCTCAGCCTCAGTCTCACAGTGATTACCATGACACTCCCTACCACAACTCTCAAGATGGATACGACAGTTATGTTGAGACTTATTGGCACCCTCCCAGCAGTGCCTATTTTGGTCCAGGAGGCAGATATCAGCATGGGTATGGGTGTGAGTATCATAATGAGTACCCTAAGGACCAGGAAGATGGAGAATGAGCTCCTTAGGCTCGCAGGCCTCATTTTGGATCAACCATTTGGCTGCATTCAGGTGACTGCCTTGGCCGCGTATATATCAAGTTGTTTTATCATTTCTATCGTTTTTGGTTGTCATGCTTGCCATTGAACATTGACATATCTACTGTGTCCTTTTGTATCTACCATAGTATCAATGCATTATTTTGTATGTGCTCAGGCTAGTGCTGCCACAGTCCGGTTCAGTCCGGTTCAGGCATGGAGGGCGAATGCTGGACCGGACCCTTATGAACGTGTTCGCAAATGTTCGGTTTGAGTTCAGAATGTGTTCAAACGTCTGAACGCAACATATAAATTTCAAAAAAATTTAGCTGCTAAGTGTAAGGCATGCTCCATGCAACTGAATAGATGATAGACATTAGTAACATTGAATTGAATAAATAAATTACTTACCGCACACGGTGCTCGCCTGTGATCCATTTTGTACCGGAAGGGTCAATAGCATCTGTGACAGTCTGGATTGCAGTGTCATTGTTGGTGGCATTGTCGGCCGTAAACCAACCCACCTTGTTGCGAATACCATAGTCATCAATAGCTTTGATTAGAATTCTTCTGATGTTGCGGCCACTATGATTACTGTTGATAGTGGTGAATGCGAGCTGCTCAGACTTCAGCTCCCACTCCTGAGGTTTCCCAACCGGGGAGTCAATGTAATGTGCTGTAATCAAGAGGAAAGGGACACCAGGTTCTGAAGTCCATGAGTCAAATGTCATAGAAATATTGCTGTCAACTTGCTTGAGCTTCTCTTTGACACGCTGGACAGCAAGCTTGGCCCATTCGAGAATCTCATCGCAAGTTTTCGTGCGATGAGGAATATCTCTCTCTGAAAGGGAGGGCTGGAGGTATTGAAGAAGGCGGTGGAATGGTCCCTTATCAACGAGTTGGAATGCCTACGTATATGGCATAAGTGTAAGTGTCTTAATTACATGGTCGTGATCACATACCTTGTCCTCACAGACAATCAGCTCAACAATATAATCCATGAGGCCAGACTTGGTGGATTCAAGCACTTTAGGTGCAAGAGAGCCATCTAACATTTGTTGTGCGCCATCAGTCGATTTGCAGTTAAGAGGTACAGCACGATCATGCATCGGGATACCTCATTGCTTACAACTGTCTCAGTAGAGCAGAAAGTGACACTTTGGATTGCGAGCAATATGGGCGCGGCGAGTTGAGACACTGCCTTTGAAAAAACATTGGTTGGACGGTACATCATTGGCTCTGAAATTCATGTTAGTTATCAGTGTGATTGGTCTAACATCATTGAAACTTACTTGCATATCTTGCACCACTAGCCGTCTTCACGTTCTTGGGTGTGAGGGTTAACGCAGCCTTTCTCCTGCATAAATATTCCCTTTAAGTCTGCACTGCGCTCATCTTTCTTGGTCTGCTTGCGATCCTCGTCTCCAAACACCTTGGTCCTTTGGTAAGCTTCCTCTTCCTCTTCCTCTTCCTCTTCCTCTTCCTCTTCCTCTTCCTCTTCCTCTTCCTCTTCCTCTTCCTCTTCCTCTTCCTCTTCCTCTTCCTCTTCCTCTTCCTCTTCCTCTTCCTCTTCCTCTTCCTCTTCCTCTTCCTCTTCCTCTTCCTCTTCCTCTTCCTCTTCCTCTTCCTCTTCCTCTTCCTCTTCCTCTTCCTCTTCCTCTTCCTCTTCCTCTTCCTCTTCCTCTTCCTCTTCCTCTTCCTCTTCCTCTTCCTCTTCCTCTTCCTCTTCCTCTTCCTCGTCATCTGAAAAATCTTCTAGCACAGGCAGTTCATCATTGTCATTGCGGTGACGGACCAGACGAGAGCCAGTTTGCACTCACTTGGGTGCAGGCTGACTTTGAGGAGGCACTGGAGCTGATCGTTTGGCAGGAGCTGCATTGGTAGCCACACAGATTTTTTCTGTCAGTTTGAGAGCTGGACCTGAGTGACAAGACACAAAAGCAGTCAGCATGCCATTGGATGCAGGAAGCGGAGGTGGAGCAGGAAGCGGATGTGGAGCAGGCATGGGGGTGTCATCGTCCGGGTCATTGTACCAATCAATGGCATTAGCGTCTTTGAGTTGGCCATCGGATCCAAGGGCACACGACATTCTCACAGCCAGAAGGGTGAATATTGTACCTGTAGTAGCTCATTTATACCAGAATTTGTGGTAAGAGATTAGAAAAATGTGATGCACCTTGAACATATTGTTGCCATGCAATGACTGCGACAGTTGATCAATGTTGAAGCAAGTACCTGAACGAGCATCCCAAACATATGTTCTGAACATAAATTAAATTATAATCCTAATAATGATTAACATAGGGCTTACCAAAACGTCGAATAGATCACAGAGGAAGTCAGATGTCACTAACAGAAATGCATTCAGTCTTTTGGTCGTGAAGTAAGAGCCGTTCTGGAGATCAATGCTCCCAGAACTGCCAATGGCCATATGAGTTTGTTGCCAGGTGATCAGAGAAAATATTAGTATAGATGGATAGCAATAAGCTGAGGACCTCAAGTGGATCATAGACAGAAGGAAGAACAGTTCGAACACGTCTGGACGGGTTCGGTACTTTCAGGCATCAGCTGAATGCCAAACATAATAATGTGTTTGGTCCTGAGAGTATGTCAAATGTTGGACCAGACCAACGGTCCGGTTCAGAAGGGTTCAGGTTCGAACCAAAGTTCTGAACCAGACTCCGGCAGCACTAGCTCAGGCCTCACTCCACTCCTCAAGACATCCATGATCACAGAGGACTGGGTGCAGAAATGAAATAAAACATTTGAAGTGGAATATGGAAGTATGTTACGCACTCAAATAGGTCTGTTATGCGGAGCCCTAAGAGGGGCGTCGTCCGCTAACGGTCGTTGACGTAACCGGAAGGATCTGGTATGGCAAGTGAGACTGGTGATGATGAGTCGGCAGTGTTCACAGACACGCGTGTCACGTGACTTCTAAGATGGATGTCTGTGAAGTCACCAGGCTCAAAGTGAGGACAGTCTTGTCCGAACGATGAGTGTTGATCGAGGTGGACTTAGTCGCGATGAGCAACTAAGAAAAGATACTAGAGACTGAAGCCTAGGGGCGTTCAGAGAGTAGTATGTTCCAGGGAAGATTGAGTAGATTCAAGTTAGAGAATCTAGTACAGGGTGACCGACTACTTATACTAAGTGGAAAGGGTTAAGGGCAAGGCTACCATACTGTAGGTAAGGGCAAAGGGGAAACGAGAATGGTATAGGTGTGTTGGCAACAGAGCCAGATTAGTGGTGGATGGTCAAATGTGGAATGAGACCGAGAAATGTTGGAACAGTCCAACGGTAAGAATACAACGTGCGGGAATCCGCAGTCAGAAGGGAACTGGAAAGGAAAGCCACATTGGTGGCATGAGTCAGACCGAGTCATAGGTGCGGGACCACATTGGTGGTCGAGTCAAAGGAGGAACGTGCGTGCACGTGCATAGAGGCGGGCGATGCGAGGGATGGGAACGGTCCCAAGGATCCGGTCAACAGAAAGTTGGTAAAGGAGGATGAGCCGGTAGATGGTGAGGGCGAGGATGAAGGGAAAATGATAGGGGGGCCACATGACCGATGTTACTTGTAACAAAGTATGGAAGTATGGATAACATACAGATAGTACGGGAGGCTCTAGAAAACATCTGCTATCACACTTGCTGACATCATGGGGATATGGAGATGCTGACATAGGGAGGCAGGCAGGGAGCATCTGGAGAGGCTGATATGTTGAGGCTCTCCAGGGAACATACCAGGAGGTTGCACTCACCCTCTGTGACGAGGTTCTGGTTACATGCTCGCGAGGGATAGTCACACATCCTGGGAAAACTAGGGAGAAGCCTCCTGGAGGAGGGGGTCTCTTAGACTATATATTTGCTACATAATAATAGGGTCTGACGGTACATGGGAACATCTTGAAAGTGCTGCCAAGGGTGTGCATGGTTAGCCAAACTGGAGGATGTATCAGGGTTTTTGGCTAATAAGCCAGTTAGATATATCTTTCCCCCACCAACAGGTGTACTTACCCCGTATTACGGCCGTACAAATATGGCAACATATGGTACTTTGATATCCGTACACCGTAACCGTCAACTGAAGGCCAAAACAGCCAACAGTACGGATATGGAGACCGTATTACGGCCCTGTACAGTTCCCGACGACCAGTCCGGGTTCTGTTTGCAGCAAATGTCATTTTCTCTACAAGAAAAAGTGTGGGAACATTTATGTCAGCTCTTATGTCAGCTTGTGTGAAACTGCCTCTTTGTCATGCGCTGCCTGACACCAGCGGCCTTATCTTTAAAAGATTTCTGTGGCTCGTCAAAAATCTTTGCGAGCACACAGCACAGACTGGAGGCTCAATCCACATTGAGCCATGTACATAGTTTCAGGCACAATCTAAGGCCATTTGTTTGGGCACAATGCATGGCCAATCCCGCGTGCGGTCACTGTTGATCTGCTGCTCCTGAAGTATACTTTCCATCTTGGCAGTCTGTCTCATTTCCTTGTGATGTTCCAACTTCGAAAGAAACTCTTGGCTGAGTGAGTTCATGATGGGAACACCATACTCATATCAGTACTTTCATGAGGAAATCATCGTCTGAAAAATGGTCTGAGGGCGCAATTTGATGATATGTGAGATATACATCAGCAACATGAACTGGCCCACTGGCAACAAGAAATGCTGCGCACCTGCGGAGGAAATCGATCACACTATTACAGGACTTTTGCAGAGACCTCTTGTTCAGCGAAGGACGACAATCAGGAGGAAGGTGGGCGATGGATTCCGTAAGATCATTGATGGACAGGCGACGTATCCATTTGACTAGTGTCTCGATTGGGAGTGACAACCAAGCTAAAGGAGGGGGCAGCAACGAATGATGCAAGGAGGAGTGTACTTCTGAAGATATGCCTGCGGGGGGCATCCTGATGAGTTTACCAATGTCATTGCCATAGATATAGTCAACATATGAACAAAACGACTGGACACGAGTTGTCCCCTTGAAAGTATTGACACCCCATCATCAGCAGTAACCATCAATTTGGAGCGCATCCAATCAATGTGATCCAGAATGCAATCAACATACCCGGATTTATTTCGGCGTATCTTTGTGGATCGTTCTGCCAGGCAAGTAGCCAGTGATGAAAGGATACTTGAAACCAGTACCTGGAGACGAACTTTGAGAATGTCCAGGGGTGTAAACAACCATAACTTTGAAAGGATTCTCATGCTAGCGTGTCAGTACAAGTTCGCCAACAGACCGCATATGCTGAGAATAAAACCTTCGCAATGAATGTGCAGTGGTAATAACTGGCACACTGAAAGGACGAAATTGAACAGTGTATTGCAACAATACCTTGACAAATTATAATTGACATTCTGTCATAAGCGACCGCACCACCAAAGGGAGTTGAAGTGCAAGGACAGGCACGATAATGAGTTGACAATGATAATTTGAGCCTTGCACAGAAATTTACAGGACATGAGAACAAGGATGCATGATATTCAGGGTAATAGAGAGCATCATAATAATATGGATATTCAGAGACATCATGACATGTATCAAGAGGTGGACAAAGTCAGCTATCGAGCACACGAGAAACTGTGCAAGGCTCTTTGACCAAGAAAACCCTGATATGATAATTAAGCTCACTACACGCAATATTACAAACATGATGCTCACATATTTTTGTACACAGGGTGGGAGATTAGTATCACAATTTGTGGCCTGCTCTGTCACTTGGTGGTTTGAGGGAGATATGCAGATGGGTACTCGAGATAAGGAAACAGCACTATTTAATGCCGAAAAACAAGTGAGACAAGACAATGGACAACGATGCGACGTGAGACCAAACACCATTGAAGGTGAGAGATTCAAAACCGAAATGAAAGGAGAATAGGTATGTACGAAGGAAACATTGAGGCGGCAATTGAGGAAGAAAAGTCGAACCAAAACAGCATGTGATGGTGTCTGGCGTCGTCAGGAATTGGCGCGTACGCGGCGTTATGATTCCGTAATACGGTGTACGTCAAATAGCCCCACTAGATGTACCCGAGTGTTCGTGCATTTTTGACAGTTTCATGTATTGCTCTCGATCCACAACACAAAATAAATATTGGATAGTTATAGGTAGATAGATTACCATCTCAATAATATGGCCCAAATTTTTTTATACAAAAAAGTTGATGAGTTGTGTTACTGCAGCATGACCAAGCACCCTTAGTCTGTCTCACCTAGTGTTCGTGCATTTGTCACACTGTGTCACACGTTGCCGACGTTGCCGATTAAAAGTCCGCTGTACAACACGCAAGGGGATGTCCAGTGCTTTACTTGGTGCCATGAAAAATCTGTTGCGGCATGGCGGGATTTTAAAATGATGTAACGTCTTGTGGTAGATTGTCACGCCAGATAACATATCCTTCACTTGTGCATCAGTAGTCTGGCAAATCAACCTTGTATGTTGTCATTTTAGCTAGATATCTGTCAGAACTAATGTTCCAAGCACTTCCGAGGTCAAAATTGGTGTGAGTTTGCCTTCCCGACGCTGATCAGTGTGCCAAATTGTCTCCAAACGGTATATATTGTATCATAACATTTGCACAACACAATCATTCAAAAAATAAAAGACATAGAAATACTCATTGACAATGCAGGACCATTTAATTACTATAGACCAAAATGATTCGTGATGATTTGCGTGTGCTAGCTCAAAAGCACGAACACTAGGTGAGCACGAACTCGTGGGTACATCTAGTAGCGCTGAGATGATGTCGCTAATATAAGACAAACCCTTTCGGGTTTTGCCGTTATTTGCGCATAATTTGCAGGTCACTAGTATAGTCTATATGACGGTCCTATCTCCGGTGACCTTGCAAGTAATGTATCAAGCGCTCAGGAAGACCGGCGCCCGTAGGTTTGAGCGCAACTCCTAAACTATTATCAGAATTTGATTCACCAGTCAACTAGGTCTCCCTACAGCAGTCAGTCCGACTCAGGCCTCGTGATATGCGGCAACATTCCATTCTTGCGATCTTTCTGGACACGAGTTTTGCATGCGGTGATCTAGTGTTCTGATCCGGGTCGTTCTTGCAAAGTTTTCTTCTGGTCTGTGGAATAGTACATTGTGCATAAACGTTATACTAATAATATATAGTCTTATGGGTGCCCTCTTCTGGATGCCAGCTTTCAAAGCAGCTTGAGTCTTTCCCGCCATGACTCGGACGTCTATCCCTGTAAACTCCTCCCTTGAAACCGGCTATCAAGCTCCCAATAATCCTATCCTGAGGCTGGCGTTCAAAGTCTTGTGTGTTATTGCGGTCTCTCGGGAGTCTCTCGACCATTGGGACGATACAGAGAACAAAGAATGGAAGGACCATGTCTCAATAATGGTCAATCGATTTCAGAACACAAATATCACCGTATGTTTGATATGATCCGATGTTTATGGCTAGCGTTCAACAACTGGACTTCAGGCCGGGCTCGTACTCGCAACTGCTACTCTATTCCTGTCGTCCGTCCCTCCAATCGAGCATTTGATGGCTTATAACTTCTCAATATCGTACATCTTCGCCATGGTTTCATTTGGTGCCGCATTGCTCAGCGTGATATCCGGATCTGCTGTGCTGGTTATCTATGAAACTAGCACCGCTCACAAAGACATGGGCACCCTCAAAGTGAGTCTGTTTGTCCGTACTGCCTCACAATCTGACACACGGCACAGCGCATGCCACGACACCAAGTCATCGCGCTGCTGCTATGGTTGGCATATCCCTCAGTCTGTCTGTCAATCGCTACTTGCTGTTTGTTTATGTGTGAGTGAGGCACTAGATGTTGTTTAGATCTGCTGACGAGTATGGCGTTTGCTTTGGTGCAGCTATCTTTATCGCTTGCTTTTGGTCTGGCAATAGTGTTGTCAGCACCATAACCGTCTTGGCTTGTTTGGCCTTCCTTTCAAACGGAGGCCTTACTCTCTACGTTTTCAGCGTTGTGGGCGAAAAGTAACGTGGTAGCACTCTTGTTGGATTCGCCAGTCTAATTATACCTTACAGGCGGGTCGATGATCCAAAAAACCCCACCCACACAAGTTGCTGACAGGCATCATGCTAGTATAGGTGCTGCATGTCTTCGGCTCTGACAGGGATGACTGGGCGTGATAATTGTTATAGACCACTCAGGGTTTGGATGTTTCGGGTTGTACGTATCGGTCCGTGGAGTAGCAGCATCGCTTTCTCGAAGAACTTGTTACTTGCCATGTCTCGACTCTCCTTAGCCTAGTATCCGAGTCCATCATATGCCACACCACCTCCTGATCGCCCATGCGAACTGTTCACACAGCAAAGTACGTTAGAAAATAGATGCCTAGGGTCCACATATACAATCTTCAACTTGAAATTTATGTACTTGTCAATGATTCACATATTTGAGCTTTGAGTTTTTTCAGTGAAGTTTCTGTGCGCGATGTTCGAGTTGTGGTTGCTGGTAATTGTTCTCCAGTACCCAGGCAATTTATGCTGCGCAATACTACTCGGCGTTATCATCGCATGATTGGAATGATACATAATGTCGCATCAGTGGTTCCCCACAGTGTGCACAGGATAAGACAACGTTGCTGTCCAGCCACTCGATTTCGACGGACAAGGACGTCGGACACAATGATCCTGGGTCAAGGTCGCTTTCTTAGGAAATTTTGGTGGGTTCTTATATAAAAGCGGTGATGTCGCAGACTTCCAAGTAGCGCTCAAGCGAGATTCTCATTGGTGGAAGCTCAGCGCTCAGCGTTCATGTACATTGTCATGTACTCAGCATGGTCACTGATCCTGCAGATCGGCTTCCCGATGCATTCTTGCAAGCATTGCCCCCGAGTCTGGAACCACGAACATGTGCAAGTATAAGGGTCGTCCTCAGGCTGTACGGACGGTCCATTCAATAACGTCTCAACCTCACAACTTGAACACTCACGTTATGAGCTCCACCATCGATGAAACGATGTCTAATGATACTTCTAGTAGCTCAGCCTCTCAAGTCCTGAAAAACTTTCCGCTTCCCACTCATCCCATTCTGAATTCAGCGTTCAGAATCCTGTGCGTTGTTGCAGTCTCTCGAACGTCCCTCGAACACTGGAGGCACACAAATAACGAAGAATGGAAGGAGCATGTCTCAGTGATGGTCAATCGTTTCCAGAACTCAAACGTCACCGTGTGTTTGATACGATCTGGTCGTTATCACTAACATTAAACAATTGGAATTTAGGCTGGGCTGGTACTCGCAACTACTGCTTTGATCCTGACGACGAGTTCTCCTGTAACTAGCTTGATGGTTTTTGACACTGCAGCCTCCTACGTCTTCGCCATGATTGCATTCAGTGCTGCATTGCTCAGTGTAATATCGGGAGCTGCGGTCGTGGTCATCTATGAAACTAGCACTGTTCATAAAGACATAGAACACCTCAGAGTGAGCTCTGCTTATTTGGGGTGTTGCATGGTTTGACGCTTGCTGCAGGACATGTCACGATGCCAAATTATCTGCCTGTTGTTGTGGTTGGCATACCCCTCAATTTGTCTGGCAGTCGCCGCGTGCTGTTTGTTTGTGTGTAAGTGAGTTAGCAGAAGTGTTCCTGTCGATGATGCATGAAATTCTTTTGGTGCAGCTCTCTTTATCGCTTGCTTCTGCTCTGGAAATGTCCCTGTCCAAGTCATAACAGCCACAGGTTGTTCGGCCTTCGTTATCAATGGAATGCTTACGCTCCACGTTTTCAGTTTTGTGCGCGAGCCGTAAGCGAATAAAACCCTTGTTTCGACCTGTCTCAATTCGTTTTGTAGGGACGCCGCAGAAACCCGCCGACGGCTCGGGTGGAATGCGTTCTGCATGCATTGAAGGTGCATGATGACTTGGTCTGGTGTAGATCAAGGTTTGGGTGACACGGCTAGTACGATATATTAGCTAGTAGACTCGCAACGGATCGTCTTTTGCCATCGGCTTAGTTTCAGTATGCGGGCCCACGTTATGAATCCAGACTTAAATGAGCAGCCTTTCAAGTTATATCGGAAATTTCAAAATACAGACCATAATAATGTCATGCAAGTCGGTGACTCGCACGAGGGTTTGTTTGACCTGGTGCACGGTCACTCTGCTCGGATGTTACTCATGTGACTTGTGGGATTTCCTTCGGTACAGCTCTCCTTATCGCTTTACGAATATATCCTTATTCATGTCATGATGCCACCTCGGGGATCTTGTCTCGCCGAGTCTTTAAGACGCTCATCTGTGCAACATCTGTGGGCAGGCTACGGCAAGGCCACGGTAGGCTTAGCAAGGGATCCCCCAGGCCAAGTCCTTGAGGCTGTTTTGTAGACGCCAGCACCAGTGCCCCTGCCAGCCTGCCACCGATGGCCAAGATTAATATTAATTAACATTAACCAAACATGGAAGGACAGGATTTGCCCGAGGTCGAACGCTGCCACTGGCCGCAAGCTCCCCCAAACGAATATGCATATTGGAACTTCCCGTGTATTGGATGGTGCGTTGGGAAGATCCACGAGAGATCAACATGCATAGTCGATCGACGTTCTCCGCGACTTCGTGTTCTATACCATCCCTGCCACATTTGCCACAACCTGCTGTTAATCGTCGGGTAATCGCGAGATCTTGTTTACCCCTGCAGCCGATGAGGTGCGTGGTTTCCGACCCTTACTGTGGTACTTTTCATAGGAACTGTTTAGCCCCTTTATGTTCCCAGATGAATGATCCATCCGGGCCAGGGAAGTGAAACCCACTAGAACGCACACCATGAACGCTTGAGCATGACCATATCCGCTTTTCCAGCTTCTAGATCCAATGACTTTTACATTTCAAAAAATAATGTCTAAGATAGGCCCCCTCGCGCTTCAGCGGACAAAGAGCAAAAAACGCGCGGTCAGAAACGATCTGTCCTCAACTACACCAAATATCTAAAACCGACTGGGCCCCGAAGCTCTTTAATACCTTTCACATTCTCGTTCCTCTCAATCTGCTCATTCAGATGCTTCAAATAAAGATGCATCCCACCAAACATGGTGGTGGAAACCCCAATTGCTGCGATGCTGACGGCATAGGAATAACGATATGTTGGGCCCCATTTGGACGGCCATGCGTACCTATTAGAAAAGTGCAGTTGTGGATAATCAGCAAGAGCGAGGAATCGATGACAATGTTACAGACGGTCCAACAATATTGCCTATCTGCCCTATTGTGTTAATCAAAGCAATAGCAACGGCTCGCTTCGCAGGTTCTCTGGCGAAAGTGTTGTTGACCCACCCCCAGAGCACCAGATATCCAGCGATGAGCTGAGCCATCAGGAACCTGTGTGTCTCTTAGTACAACAAGTAACGCTTCATGAGTAGGGGCTTAATTACAACGAAATATAGCGCGCAGCTTTGTTCATCGTAAAGATCGATATGGTGAATGCAAGGGTACCGAGTGCATTTGAGGCAGCAAAGTATTTGTAACGCCTCTGCTTCTTGTCAGAGTACCTGATCCCCATGAGATGTGATTTCCGATAAAAATGGTTGACGGACCATGTAAGAGCAAATGCCACTATAGTCGCGAACGCCCACGGAGGAGCGCAGAGTAGCAACGTTGTAGTCGTGTCATATCCCAGTGTTGCGCATAGCGTCGGGAAGTAACCCATAAAAGAATGCGCTATGTACTGGAACATGAACGCAACTGAAAACCACCACACCTTCCAGTCAAATACAGCATCCCACAGTCCTTGTATGGTCGTCTGTTTCCCACTTTCGTCAGCCTTACCATAGCCATCTTCCAGAAGGCGAGAAATGGCAAGTGATCTTTCCTCTGGGGTGAGCCACCTAGTATTGTGCGGGAAATTAGGGAGTATGAATATCGCGCAAATCGCGATTAAGATAGTGACGCCGCCTTCAATGTAAAATAACCATCTACAGATCATTCAGTTCCAAGGAGTGACAGAGGCTATCGTTGCTTACCTCCATGCAGCTTGACCAAGTTTGCCCTGCATGCCATGAAGTATACCAGATGCAAAAAGCGATCCGAATGCAGAGCTGAATAAAAATCCAGAAAAAAGAAGAGCCGTTCTCATGGCGAGCTCGTCCCGTTTGTACCATCCAGATATAAGAAATAGGACGCCAGGGAGGAAGGGGGCTTCGACAAAGCCGAGAAAGAACCGTGCGACCAAAACTCCGGTATAGCTTGGGTCTGGCTATCAGAGATTAAAATGATGCGAGACTAGAATTTGTACTTCGTTGTGGTCCCTATGCAGAATTAGCAGCGATATTCGTAAACGATCAGCGTCGACAAACCAATTAACACTGATATTCCGCCCCATACTATCATACAAGACGGAATGAAGATAGCAGGTCTCTCCAGCCAGTGCAGAAACATGTTCCTAAATCAAATTCACGTTCACCTGTCCCTCGATGAAGGAGAAAACTCGCCCTGGCACTTGCATGATAAGGAATCCAACATATAGGATGGACAAGACCGTGGCGTATTGTTGGCCCCGCAGGTGCAGGTCTTTTTCAAAACCTTGTAGCCGAGCATTGCTGTGGATGTCATGAGATCAATACAAGTTCGACGATATTCAACGTACCTAACATTTGATCTGTCGATCTAAGATGCACGGCAAGTATTCGAGTAGAGTTTTACAAAAACCTCAGACTCACCATGTTCATGGTATACAAAACCAATATCACGGACATACGTAAATCAAGTTTCCTCACCAATCTCCTTTCGAGGTCATCACGGCTATGACAGGGTACGCCAGTGGGCAAGTCGTCGACCACACCGATAGCGCCACCCGTTTGTGTATCATTGAGAACGGGCATTGTCAGGAGGAGGGAGGTAAACGCAACACCAGGCTTGCAAATTATCTACTTCGCGACACGTCAATCATCAGGGAACCGATCTGAGTCCTTTAGGCTTTGGGGTATTACATTACGTTGTTGACGTCGTAATATGTGATGTTAGCTACGAAAATAAATTGTCATGTGATGGTATGTAACTTCCTCACCAGCCCTCTGAAATCAGTGAATCCACCGGTCCTAGGTATTGTAGCCCCATGCTAGGTCACATCTGCCAGGGTTATTAATTCATAACACTGGTAGCACCGTCAATTGTCCATGACTGGTAATTTGGTTTGGCTAATTGTTTACGCTGGAGGATGGACTCGGGAGAGGGATGTCAATAACGTTGCAGCGAAAAGCCAGCAGACGGCGGGCTAGGGTCAGAGGACATACAATCTAGAATGTGCATGGTAGACTGTAAGTCTATAAATATTTCATGGATATAAACACACCCTAAAAATGTAGTCATGTACATACAGCTTGGAAGACTTTCGAAGAGTACGGCTGCTGTCACAGTACTTTGACATAATTCTGCACCATCATGGTGCACCGCCACGAAGTACAGTTTCCTGGTACGGTCACGTCGTGACAAATATTGCGCTTACACTCTCCTGAGGCCTGAGTCCTCGCTCAACATTCTTGGCATCCGAGATACTGAAGCATCACTGCCTTTTGGCGTAACGGTTGGGCGACGACAGTCTTGACTACTTCAGTTTCACGACTGTCTGGATCCAAATATGCCGTGAACTCTAGTATCTCCCGTTCCTATGCAGCCCATTCCGAGTTGGTAGCTTCCTGATAGCGTCGCATTTGCATCATCCGTATTTACCATGACCTGTCTATGTTATGCAACGCATCGCTCCTTCGTCCCAGCACCCTGTATAACATCAAGTGTGATGTGTCAACAACCTAGACCTGAATGAATCTCTTCTCGCGGTAACATTTTTGTTACAGGTGCCTGACCGTTCGCGATTGACAAAAACTGACATTAATATCGAAGTCGGGGAGCCGCTGGCACTCTATCACTGTTGCGCTGTCATTGATAGAACATGTATGTGGCATACTGAGCGTTACCAGAATGATATGGAATACAGAACGAAGATGCGTAACGCAATTCACAAACCAGAGACAATCACGTTATTATCGATACAGAGTGACCCACCACCTGAGGTGTCTTCTCAAACAAGTCCTCGATCTCTTCCAAGCTCTTCCCTTTAGTCTCCGGCATCAAGAAATGGCAGACGGCTGCGGTGAACAGCGCTGCTGATCCAAAGAGGAAATATGGACCGCTTGGAGAAGCCCGTAGAAAAAGCGGCGTAGTAAGCGCAACAGTGAAATTGACGAGCCAATTACTGAGCTGATAGACGTCAGATATCATGTGCGGGCAAGCGAGAAGAGTACGTAACCTACCTGCTGGACAGCACATGCTTTTGCGCGAAGCCGTGTGGGTATTATCTCGCATGCGTATATTTTAATAATCTGGAGGAGTTAACTCGCGCGTGGTGAATGACTCTGAATCAACCTACCACAGCCCATGAGCATGAGAAACTCGCCTGGTGTACAGCTCATTTAGTACTTTATGTGTGGTTTGACATGCGCGATACATACCACAAACATGTATATGAGTATGATGACGGCCCATTGCGGCCCTCTGCCACTCAAGTACACCTGTCCATCGGTTTTTCCGCCATAGATCGCATACAAGGTACCGATGGCCATGAAGCAAGTAGCAATAGAAACACCGCCACCGATCAGAGGAAATCTTCGTCCCCACTTGTCGACCCACAGTTGAGCAGGTATCGTAAATATCAAATTGATTATTCCAGAAACACCAGACGCAAGGAATGCTGCCCGAGTTGATGTAAAACCAGCTTGAGTGAACAGGATCGGAGCGTAATAAAGGACCGCATCGATCTACAGACAAGGGTGTCAATCGAGACTCCTCAGGCCTCATCGTCGGTCGTACAGGACAACACATACCCCACATAACATTTGGGAAGACATCAGAAACACACCGAGAATGCTCCGTCTGATATAACGCTTTTGGAATATCTCACGATAAGAAGCATCTTCCTGGCTCTGCTCCTCGAGACTGCCTTTAATAAGACGCAGCTCGTCTTCTACAAACTCGCTGCTAGCACGGAGCGTCTGAAGAACCGCACGAGCTTCATCTATCCTCCCCCTCTGGATAAGCCACCGCGGAGAATACGGCATGAAAGCCATCCCGGAGACGAAAACCGCAGCCATACTCGCTTCCAAAATAAACGGTGTCCTCCAAGCCAACTCACCCCCAATTCTCGAAGACGCATACGCAACAAAATACCCCAAAGCGATCCCGACAGTGATAAGCAACTGTAGCACCGCCGCAACCGTTCCTCTGATCTCTCCTGGAGAAATCTCGCAGAGGTAAATGGTAACGACGGAGATACTCTGACCCTGTCCGATTCCCGTTATCAGCCGTGCGCATACGAGAACAGGGAAAGTTTTCGCAGAGGCGGAGATGATCGTTCCTAGGAGGACTATGATACCTCCTGTTAGGATCCCATACTTGCGAGATAGCAAGTCAGCTATATAACCGCTACATAGCGAAGACAAGGAAGCAGAGAGAAGAATACACGCGACATAAATCCCGAGGATGCCTGAGGAGAGATGGCCGATAGAGCTGGAGAACTGTTCCATCTGGGTAATAGGACCAATTGAACCTGGAAGAGATGACCATCATGATTGATTAGAGATGCCCGTCAACCCAGGTCCGAAATAAAACTGCATACCGGTATCCAACCCCCACAGCATCCCGGCCAAGGATGTATGAAGGGCAATCAAGTATATTCTAGTAGTTGCAGATACCATTGCTAAGATGGGGGTCTTACTGACAGCGCAAGCCTGCAGCTGTCTACCATAGTCAGTAGCAGAGCGGCGCCCGTACGTACAATCAGACGTAACCGAGCTGCAGGCAGAAGACTCCGACGGCCTATCTTCTACTAAGGGGGAAACGCATCGTGATCATAAGACGCGTTACTTTTGGTCATGGCCATGACCGAGATGAATAAACTTAATATACGGCGGCGCACGACATGTCATGGGACGCCCATACATAGCTGAGACGAATACAACACGGCGCCGCGTGATCGATAGGCAAATATTCCCTTGGCCAGACATGTGCACGGCTTTTCGGAGCAAGGAACGAATTGGCACTAGTTACGAGTAGCCGCATCGAAAATTAGGTTCGAGTGACTAATTACGTTTGGATTTTGAATTTCATATTTGGCTCACATAAGCTCAACAGAATTATCATGACATGTGATTCAAATCTGCACTACAACAAACGAAACACAAAGTATGTATGATAGTATCATGAAGAGCAGTCAAACAGTCAGTACCAAAAAAAACATGCGCAAGAAAAACTCATGAGCCTAACAGCATTCGTAACATTCATCATCGCTAGGGAAAAAAAACGGAATAAAAGGAATGGTGGTGTGCATCGCGTTGGAGTATGTTTTCATGTTTTTATTTGCATACGAATAGAGCAGTCCTCAGGACAACCCTCAGAGACAGAAATCAACCATCAAAGACCCCCCTGCGGTGCAGGCACGCCCTTCCGACCCAGAATATCCAGAATCTCAGAAATAGTCCGCGCCGCATCCATTGTTTGAGGTCCACCAGGGAGAATCGTCAATCGCTGCTTGGTAGTATTCAGCGTAGCCTTCACATTCGGGACTACTCGCGCGACGTATGGTGCGATCAGAGGTTCCTGAAGTCCACAAAAACGTCAGTACCTCAGCCACACAATGCACGGAGACATACATTAATGTTCAAAACAGTAGCAGTGCGTTGCATCCACCACAAAGAAGACTTGAAAGCTTCATCCACAGGAGGCGTCTCCGCAATTATAGTAGCCAGCTAATAATAATAAAATCAAAACCAATCAGCAAAGAATTTTCAAGGGATACGCACCCGATGCAAAATTGACAAAATAACAGCCATAGACAACGGCCCCTTCCTGTCCATAGGCATCACAACCTCCGGGCTCGATCTCGCAAGGAGCTCCCTCAGCTGCTTCGGATCCTGCGTACCCAGAACCGCCATATAGGTATCTTCCCAAGCATCATGTTGAACGGGAGGAGACCGCTGGGACAACGGTGGTGGGGGAGGGGGTTGGGGAGGCGCGATGGGGTGAGACGCTTGAGGCGCAGCAATCGTTGAAGGGTACCACGTAGCGTGTGTGTGCATCTGCGATGGCTGTGGTTGTTGGGAGAATGAACCGAGAGACTGAGAGCCGTATACTGGAGCCTGCGTCGTTGCAGGAGGGAGGTTCTGGGAGCGGTGCATGCCTTGACTCATAGAACTCATGTTTGAGACGCTAGGAACAGGAGAACTGCCAGTTGTTATCCGATGATTAGCAGCTGAATTCAACGACAAGAACTTGACTTGGTCGGACAGCATCCTGACAGAATGCTCGAGATCCCTGATTAAGGACTACCCAATTCATTAGAACGATCTCAATCTTGAGAGAAAGACCGCTCACCTCCTGGCTCCGTGCAGCTTCAGTCTGCCATGACATAGAATCCTTCTTTACATTCAAAATCTCCGCCCTCATCTCTCGAAGGATATCTTGGTGCATAGCCGAAGTCTGCTGAGAGTACGTAGGGATGATGTTCTTTGTGACGGCGTCCTTGATGTACCGCTCGATCAGAGGGTTCAAATTCGTCGAGAGGATACTAGCGAAATGGCTCGAGATATCAGGGCGTAAAAGCAGTTTCTCGATCTCATTCGGAAGGCTCTGCACACATCCAACAAAAGTTGAGTCAGATCAAAAACGGAGAACAGCACAACGTACATTCTGGATAAATTCTGTCAACCCTCTCCCAACATGCTCATTAAGAGCAGCCCGAACTTCCGTCCTCGTGATATGCTCCAGCGCAGGTAAAACCGAGTTCTGGACTTCAGCTTTAACGGCCATCTCAACAACCCTCGTCGTGTTTCTTGTAAGCTCCGTCGATATTAGCTTCAGAATCTTCTCCTGTCGATTGAAATCCTCAGCCTGCTCTTGAACGCGCGCTTCTTCCATCCGTTGGTCTGGGAACCAAAACCAGGATCAACGTCAAAACACCGCAAAAGGTACATCAGCCACTTACGTTGTTTATCCATCTCCTTCCCAATTAACCGTCCAATACGCGTATGCAAGCTCTCCTCGCTCTTTTTGATCTCCTTGGTGACGACTAGTGCAACCCCATTGTCAACACTAGCGCCCGCATCGCCCTTGAAGCTCGTTAATTTCTCAGTCTCTTTCAAGTTCAGATTCGCAGCTTCGCGATCCCTAAACGCCACATTCTTCCCTCGGATGTTCTTTCCCTTGCCTTCATGTGTACGGACTTCGTCGCGCGCGATATCACCCTCAAGTTCTTCAGAAGGAGGGGTTCGAAGTGTACGAGGTGGGAGAATGCTTCCAGACCCGGACCCAGAGGACTGCATGGCTGGCACGGAAGCAGGCCCAGGCCCACCGATGTTCACAGGCGCAGGAGGCATCTGACGCCCTGTACCCTTTACTTCCGCGGGGGCCGCAGGCATATAAGGTGGGAACTTTCCAGGCGCGTTTAACACAGCCGTATCATACCACTCTTTCCTGATCAGCACCTGATCAACACCGGTAGAATGCACAGAGAACGCGACGAGCGCGAGGTCTCCCGGGGGGAGCTTAGCAGCGACGCATGCAGCGTGCGCTTCGTCACCTGTGGGGTCTGCGTCTGCTGAGAGTATCACAAAGTGGATAGTCGGTTTCGGCCCGGAGAACTCGACGACTTGCTCGAAGAACCCGCCACGGACGAGTTCGCCCGAAGGCGAAGCGCTGACATCGAACCCGATGCGCAGGGAGATGAGACTGTCGCGCCGGTTGTTGGCAACCCAGAGCGTCTGGATTCGGGAGTCGTAGTTGACGTGTCCGAACATGTCGGGGTCTTCTTTGTTTCCGTTGACGAATTTGAATGTGGAGAGGACGTTCTTGGTGATGACAGAGAGGAGCTGGAACACTGTGCCGTTCTTCCTCCCGATGACGATGCCGTCGTCGATGAATGTCAGAGATGAGGGGACGTCGTCGCCGCGAACGCGGTGCGTCCAGAAAGGCATCTTGTCATGGACGTTCCACAGAGTAAGAGTGGAGTCCTCGGAAATAGTAGCCAGTGCAAAATGAGGAACATCAAAATCAAACGCGACCAAGCGCTGTTACGAAGGATAAGAACACACCAAAAAATGAAGCGATGGACTGACCGATGGCACGGAAAATACTTGAGAAATACGGTTCAATTCAACTTGTGGCAAAGGCTCTCCTCTAAAAGTACGCGCAGCGTCTGCTAGATCAAGTAAATACATTTTGGTCTCCGAAGCCACTGCCAGAGTGTCGGGTTGCTTGGGATGCCACTTTACGGAGTGAAGAGGGTCAGCGTCAGCACTGGGGACGATGCACAACAAGAGTCGCCCGCTGCAAATATTATTAGACCAGGAATATGTTGAGCACCGAGACACTCACGGTACATCATCAGTGATAACCTCAGGCAGTTCCCACACGACAAACCCGCCATCGGAAGTGACACCTGCGAGCCTGTTACCATACACAGCCATGTCAATGACCGAGGTGGAAGGTGCAAAGACTGTCGGCAGCTGAAGCAGAGTGCGATCACCACTCGACCGCGAGATAACACGAACACGACCCTTTGTCATGGCATACGCAATCCAATGAGTAGCGCCAATGGTCGTACCAGGTAAGAATACAGAGTCCTGCTTGACCAGAGCAATTGCAGTAGATTTGACGGCATCCCTAGGAGCCTGCACATCGTCCAGCGGCTGTGATACATCGAATACGATAGTTTGAGGTTGCGAGCTAAAAAGGAATGAGTGAAGGCACATTTTGAAAATATGAAAAGCTTGCCTCGGACTCGTCTGTGGCTTTCCTTTAGCAGTACCTTTGGCTCTGGATTCGTTCTTCCAGGTGTTGCGAGGACCGGGTGATCCATCCTTGTCTCGCCTCGCAGGTGGAGTGGGAGCCTGACCGAGAGGTGACTCGACAGGGCGTGGCTGTGGACGCGACTGCTGTGGAGCAGGCTTCGGAGGAGAGCCCCTAGGGGGCGACACACGGCCAGGTTTGGGAGGAAGAGGAGGGGGCGGGGGCATGGTACGAGGTTGGAGGGGTTGCTGCTGAGGGGTCGGCTGTGATTCAACCTGGGAATACTCGTCTGTAGTGCTATAAGGGTCATAGGCAGGGGATGGAGGCTGTGCAGGGGGGTAGGACTGCTGGGACCTAGTCAACTGGTCCATTAGGTTCTCGACAGACTTGCGCTTTGGGTCATTGAGAGAGCCTAGGGAAGCGGATGTCCAGGAGTCCTCGTTTGTGCTGGATGCACTTGCAGGACCTGCGATAACAGGTTTCTTCTTTACGGTTGAGGTGGAGTCAAGAGCATCGAAAGGAGAAACAAATTCAAACATGGACTTGCGGGGAGAGGGGGTGAGCTGCTGGGGCTGTTGAGGCTGGGCGATGGGGGGTTGTGTATCCCTTGGCTGCTCTTGTTGGATGTAAGAGCCCTCATTAAGATGGTAGGTGTCTCCGATGGAAGACTGGACTATGGACGACTGTCCCATGGAGGACTGAAACTGGGGACTAGCGGCAGGGGGTAAAGTCGACATTGGTTGTGGAGCAGGCTCTGAAAAATTTGAGCGGGAGGCGGTACTATCATAAAGATCAGCATAAAATGTATCAAGGAAATCCCAAGAGGTCATGGTAGAAAGAAATGGGAGGCGGAATGAAAAGAAATGGAATAAAAGGATTTTTTAAAAGAGCCTCGTGTATGAAGTGAGGCAAGAATGAAAGTTGACTGACCCCATGAGCTGTTCTAGGAGGATCTTTCCTTGAGTTTCACTGTTATTTGAGGGTGATTGACCTGATCTTATAGAAGAAGCAGGAGGAGACTGTTGAAGTGGCCTGATAGCAGGTATTGAAGTTGCGGCAGGATATAACAAGGAAAGGAGAGCGCTCTGCCTATCAGCTGGAGATGTAGAGACAGCTGGAACTGAAGTATCATCCATGCTTGGAGTAGCAGGGGCTGAATTTCCGTGAGATGCGGCAGATTGAAACAACGAATCAAGATAAGTTGAAGGAGGAGGAGGAGGAGTTGCGCTTCCTCTTGAGAAAAGCTTGTCATGAAGATTGGACTGTTCCATTATCAACCCAGCTAGAAGAGAATCGTTCGTTGAACAAAAAAACTGAACTCAGTCGGCCTCGTTGAACACACGAGGCGTGTTATCCAAATAAACACCAACTGAGCAACTCCGTAAGTAATAAGGTATAGCCTCCTCTCGTATCATTCCCTGCAGTACCAATAAAAATACACTTCATCTGATGGTCCAATGGGTGATGTTATATTTGGTGAATATCTACTACACGAGGAGCAATCTGAATGAAAATTGGTGAATATGAAGCCTCGTCTACAGGAGGACATGTATCAGATCTGAGTGACTTTACTACCAGTTCCCTAACCGTGGGAAAGCTGCGCGGGCCTCAAACACCTCTGAACCCTTAGCGCTTCAACCTCAACATCATCCTAATCCAAAATGCCCTCCAAAGGATGGTTCAACCTCGAATCCGCGGGTGGCATGATTCCCGAGACTCAGTTTTTCGAGGGCGACTCTGCTTTCAAATTCCTCGGCTTAACTCGTACACAAAGATTATACGGGTTTGTTGGCTGGTGCGTGCTCTAATTTTCCACTTATCCGTAACTGAACCTTTCCCAGTCTCATCATAGGGTTCGCCCTTAGTTTACTAGGCAGCATATTGCTTTTCTTGGGTCAGCTCGGTAGTTTTGCAGGTCCGTTTCACTCATTCTTCATCCAAGCACCACTATGACAACCTATTTCAAAAGTTTTGTACACTATTGGTATCATGGTGTCCCTCGTGGGCACTGGTTTCGTCATTGGAGTCAGTCCTCCCCCCCCCCCCTCTTTGCTATCATTGATACTGACGTCTCCTAGTTTGCCTCCCAATTTAAGCTTGTATGTTTCATGTCTTCTACCTAGCACAACTCAAATACTTTCCCCATAGATGTTTAAACCCGTACGAATTATTGCCACAATCGTATTCCTCGGCTCAGTGGGCCTCGTCTTCGTCGGTGCCTTCGTACTTGGGAACGAGGTTCGTCCTCCCTTTCCTGTACCTAGACTACGCTAACCCTTATCTCCAGGTACTATGCATCAGTAAGCCCTAGAACTCTGGAACTTGCCGACCCACGTAACGTTTTGATCCCATCAGTTTTTGTCGTCATCGAATACCTCGCCTACACCTGGTATAACCTATCATACATTCCATACGCCCGATCAGCGGTGCTCAAACTCGTCGGAATGAGTTAATTATGTGTATGTTTACGAGACCATCATTAATAATGCCTCATGGACTCGCACTGCTTTGCAATGTTATATCAATACATCTGTTGAGTTTGTTCCCTACCAGACGATCAATAAACACTTTGCTGTTCTTACTACCCGCACTAAAGCCTTGCTCTAACCCTATTCCTCAGTCGACTCAAACTACAGAAACGTGCTTCCTCACCCCCTAAAGTTGTTCTTCAACTCACGCAACTTGTTCATAACTGCACCAGGTTCCTCTGCACCAGTAGCCTTCCTGTACAAAAATCAGCATCATGGCTATGACCAACAAACACTGCATACATTATCGCAACTTTATCCAAACGCATAAACACATTCCACTCCTTCTCATCACCGATCGTCGACAGACCAGTGGTAACCTTGTTCTCTTGTGCAAGCTTGAAAAGCCGATCGATGGCCGGGTTCTCGGGCTCAATAGTCTTCGCGAACGCAACATTGCCAGCTGTATATTCGTGACCGTTGTATACGACCGTGTCGTCTGGGAGCGTTGCTAGTTTGGAAAGAGAGGCGTGCATTTGCTCTGCCGTCCCTTCGAAGAAACGACCGCACCCGCCTGGGGCGGTGTCAAGAACGTGACGAGTTACGGGACTACTAGCGCATACATACCTAAGAAAAGAGTATCACCAGTGAACACACCGCCGGACTGAGACTTGATGGATGTGTCCGTTGCATGGAAGCAAATAGAATCCTTGGTATGGCATGGGGTTGCCAAGCACCTGTCGTCGACATTTAGCTATGAAAGGAAAGAGGCGAAGTTTAATGAGCCCACCGAACATGTATATTATCACCGATAGTGAACTCGCCACCATCCTCGACGAGGTGTGTTTTAGCAGGCACATCAAAACCTCCATAAACGGGGATACTAGGATACGTAGAAACCTTACGTGGAACGAGGGTAAACCATCAATCGTACATATTGGGCACGTTACGCACCAGTGTCTAGTATAACATTTAAACCGTTAGTGGCCAGCACATCAGTGATGTCGGGAATAAACATGCCTTGTTTCCACCACTATGATCTTGATGGTGATGTGTAGTGATGCCAGCGACGATGCTCACGCCTTCTTTATCCGCTACAGCCTGTACTTTTTCTACGTCTAATACATCCACCACCGCCGCCTTCCTGGTTGGCTCGTCGATGAGGAGATATGCATAATTATCTGCGCTGACGAGAACAGGTACAACTCTCATCTTGAACGCTTTGACGGTAGACGCAAAAGTCCGGATACCGATAGGTGTCCGGCTACTAGTACATATAGTACTACAGCTACGGAAAGCGATGGAAAGCATGTGTCAGCTCACCGCAAAACTGATGCTGATGCGGAGCTCCAACGGGTTGACCTTGATTATTCTTAGCCTTGGGTACTGGAGCGTTTGTAACAGAGGCGAAGCTGATCACGCGTGCCGGCCACCTCGCATCTGAATCTGGTACAGCCTCAGATAAACGTCTGATGTGATGAGTTGGGCCACTCTCACATGTCAAAGCGGGTTGTTTTTACTCCCCCCTTGAGCGCTTTTTTTTCTTCTTTTTTGTCTCTTGCTTCTTTTTTTTTGATTGCCCTGGTGCTATTCGTTTCTTCCTCCCACCAGCCTACTGGGGTTCGTACTGAACATCTTGACTTTGGATGCAGGGCAGTACTTGTATTTGTGCCGGTCTTTGTTGATTGTGAGTGTTCGCTTGGTGTCTTTGAACGGGTGTTTAATATAGGTTGGGTTTCAGCAGTGTATCCGTGCATAACAACTCGCGCGCTATTAACTTCTCGACGTCGACTCTGCAGTGAAAGATGGTTAGACCAAGCCAAAGCAAGTCAGGGGGTGCTTTCCTTCCAACTGCCAGCACTAGTACTCCCACCTCTTCTCCATCACCCACCAACACCGGGTCCTCTTCTACACCCGACACCGCTGGGTCCTCTTCTGCATCTGACGCCGGTGGGACCTCTTCAGACTCTTCTACACCCGACACCAATGGGGCCCCTTCTATAACCACAACTTCTTCTACAATCGACATCTCCGGGACCTCTCCTATAATACCAACTTCTGCAACCCCCACAGCCGTGGTGACCCCACCGACATCACCCCAATCTTCCGCTGAACAAAATACATCATCATCATCTTCAACAGCTGGGGCAGCATCAACATCATCGGGAAATACGACCAGCTCGTTAGCAACTTCCTCCACAAATGTCAATACCGGCGCCATAGCAGGCGGCGTTATCGGTGGAGTCGTTGTCCTAGTATTGCTCGTCCTCGGACTCATCCTCCACCGTCGACGCAGAAAACATGTCGCGCCCTCCTCCGAATTCGCAGACACCATTAAACGCGGAGAGATGCCCGTCCTCCGCCTAGATTCCGGTGTAGAAATCGTTCCTTCATGGGCACGCAATGACGTCCCTCTACCACTACGACAAGACTCGTATTACACGAGTCCTGCCATGTCGAATATGAAACTCCTAGATGGGATGGGGATAGGAGGATCAGATGAGCAATCTACGCGTTTCAGTTTAGAAAAATCGTTGCAGCCTCTTCGACGCTCAGGTCAGCAGGGTTCGGATGAATCCATGATGATGGGCAACACGGCGCACAGGGTATCCAGTATTGGCAGCTCACAAGAGTTCTGGTCCCGTGACACAGGAAAGTTTGATACTCGGAAAGACTACAGATCTATATCCCCCCTTCCTACCGACACTAACTACGCGCCCTTGATGCAAAACACGTACCCCATGGAGCCTTCTCGCGCAGTGGAGACCTTGCAGAACGCATATGCTGATCTGTGGGAGCTCTCCGTTGTCCCGTTGACGCGCCCACTGCCAGATTTCGTTCGTAACGGTGCGGATACACAGCCTTTACCCCCGTTGAGACCTGTACGACCTAGTGTGGACATTGGGATTAGGAGGAAGGTTTAACGTTATTATTATTTTTCATATATGTTTACTGAACTTTTATTTCGGAGTCGGATTTTTGATATTGGTACATGGTATTCATCCACGAGGGTTTATGTACTGGTAATCAACCTTCTAGACTCTGAAGTTATGCGGCGAGCTTAAGTGCGTTGTTCTCCCTCCGTGTCGCCAAAGTCCGGCATACACCCATAGGGGATATGCTTATGAACAATTATTCAAGCTTTACGGAAGCTTCTTTATTCACTGAATAGCAACATCGCCTCCAGGAGATACGCAGGAAGCTAAGTGCTCGAAGCATATTTGCCCCTTCATCTCCTATCGTATGGTCATAGTAAAGCGGCGTCAGATCCAGTGTACCCTATACCACCTTATGGCCATACAATAGCGATGTTCATGGAGTGAACTCTTTCTATTCCGCTAGGTTTGTATCACGTGACTCCTCATCTCCCATCGTATGGTCATAGTCAACAGTTGGTAGATGCATTATGATTTCCACGACTTATGACCATGTGATAGCGATGTTGGTAAAATCGGGCGAATCCATCTTCTGCCTCGATTCAATCAACGGCAAAAGGGGCTGCTTCAGTAACTTGCTGTGACCAGTTCCTAAAATGGGTTATAGCACGGTTGTCCTATCCAATTATGCAAAGAAAAGCCCATAGCTGCCAGTTCCACGCTCTAGCATGGCACTGTGGTGCATAGCGAAAGCCAAGAATGGGCTTGAGGATGATACATCATGCATGACATCAGCCCGTGGCGCCACCGTATCACGGCAACGGTGCCTGCGGAGGTGGCATCCCTATCGACGTACTGTACCTTGCACTATTATTTATGGCTGGACTTGATGATATGGAGTCCTGCCAGTAGATGTTGGAATGAGCACATGCAAAACAAGCTCGTAGATCAGGAAAAGGAGTGGACTTAACGGTATTTGGTTAGCATTTGCATAGTGTCCTCGGACAATGAATGCTGACCTTGGAAACTAGCGGTGCGCAGGATGGGATGTACACTGACCAGGACGTGACGCAGGGCCTTCAGTGATCAGGCTGGATCAAAAAATGAAGTCCACGGCAAATGCACACACCGGATCGCAGAGATAGCCCAAAACATCCACATTGTCTGCAGGTACTGCGATCCATGAGAACGTCAATAATAAAAATACTAAGCACCAGGTGAATTTCGCATGGGCATGATAGAAAGGCAAGCTAGTTATAAGCCGAAAAACAAACTAGCTTCAAGTTGCATCTTATCCGCCGTTTTAATTGGCCCATCAGAATATTCCAGGCTGTTGTCGCGGCCACTTGGCTACTATTGAGCGCTGAGCAGTGAGCTGGGCGAGGTTGGGGCGAGGCTTCAAAACTTCCTTGTCGATGTACATATAGTGGCAAAGTCCATTTCCCACGCCAAGACCAAACCTCGCTTATGTAATCAATTGAAGTTATGATGCGGTGTCCGTAGTAAGTAAGCATTGCTTTCGACCATGCTGGACCATTGCTCAATCTCGCACAAAGGTCGGTCTAATAATCGTTTTGAAGCAGATGAACCTCACTATCAGTTCCAGGAGGTATTGTATTATGGTCACGCTCCTTTACCCCAGAGGCATCTTACTTGGCTTCTTCTCCTTCGTCTCCCGTAAATTCTCTCATACGTGAAGCCTTGATCGAAGGGCGGACAGCCGAGGAGAAATACGAGAAGGACGGATACGCAGTGAAGTGGACATTCTTTAATGATCTGGAGCTAATTTTTGTGGTACGTCCGCTGTCCATGCTGCCGGAGTAACTCTCGACTGACATTCAGAAATGCAGGTTGCATATCACCGCATTCTTCAACTAACTTATGTGGATGATCTCCTAGCTGCTCTCAAAGCACTGTTTATAAAACTATTCGAGCCATTCCTGGCTACTTTCGTCGCTTCGCTGCACGCAATAAAAAGCGGGAAACTCGTGTCAACTGCTGCGCGCGACTCTCCCAAGGCGTGGAACTTTGCAAAAGCATTTGAAGGCTGGGATGGTGTCTTCGAAAAGCTCTTGAAGGGATTTGAAGACAAAGCTGCCCAGGTGCGTGCTTGTTCTCGCACATACGTCGTACTTGCTCACACTAAGCTTGCAGGAACGGAAGTCTCGCTATAGACAAGTGGCTCCAGCTCTGCCCGACTCCAGTCCTCCTTCCGATGACCTCAGTACGGGTGAGTCTTCTATTTAATACATTGCGGATATATACATGAACGGCCTTCAGTCCCCTCCGAATCGTCGATTGCAGTGCAGGATGAGCAACAGATAGCTCGGAATGTACAAGCACTCAAGAATAGACTGCGTGGCCGGGGTGGCCGGAGGGGAGGACGAGGTGCGACGAGAGTGGACTCAGAAAGTGGCCGGGACAGCATGCCAACTTCAGAGTAAGTGTGCAAATCATTGTAATTCAAACCAATGTTTTATGTCATACAGCTCCGAGTCAACGAGCAAAAGGGCGAAAGGGAAGGCGCAGCGGAAATGGGGTGAATCGGCCCCGTCAGAAACAGAAATGGCCTCTTTGGACTTTAGCATCGACAAGCCTGACTCCGGCGCAAGTGGTCATTTATCGCACGACCTGCAAGCCCTTGTAGACAAGGCTTCTCTCGGAACTAGGACAAGGGATGGCTTTTATGAAGTAAAAGATTGGGACTTTGGTGGAAAGGATGACGAGGCGAATGGCGCTATCACTCGTGCTTTGAAGAACGAGGCTGCAAAGCAGCCAACAGGCTCATTGGGTGCTCTGAGTTCTTTGTTCTCGCGTTTGACAGGCTCCAAAGTTTTAACCGAACAGGATTTGAAGCCTGTATTGGAGGGAATGAAACAACACCTTATGAAGAAAAATGTCGCCATGGAAATTGCAGACAAGGTCTGCGAAGGTGTCGGAGAGAGTCTTGTGGGGAAGAAAGTGGGAGGATTCCAAAGTATGTCGTGTTTCGCATCCTTAACTCTTGTATTCTGACGTAGATTCAGCCACCAGCAATGCTGTTCGGACGGCACTGTCATCTTCGCTCACACGTATTCTAACGCCCAAGACCTCAACAGACCTATTATTGTCAATCAGGACTAAACTTTCTTCTCCCCTACCTTCCGCTCAACAAAGGATGCCTTATAGCATTACCTTTGTGGGCGTGAACGGCGTAGGAAAGAGCACAAACTTGTCAAAAGTCTGTTTCTGGCTCATCCAGAATGGCATGCGAGTGCTCATTGCAGCCTGTGACACTTTCCGGTAAGAGAGCCTGGTCAGTAATACTAGTTGCACTTATTCTGAACAATCGTGTAGGAGCGGCGCGGTCGAACAGCTTCGCGTACATGTGCGCAATCTTTCTATGCTTGGCGTCAACGGCGCAACGAATAGCAAAGGCCGTGTTGAACTTTATGAGAAAGGGTACGGGAAGGATGCTGCGGGCATCGCTAAAGAAGCCATCGCATATGGTAAGGAATTTCCATATTTCGAAGTGCATCTTTAACTCACGAATCCGTACCCAGCCAAAGATAATGACTTTGATGTGGTCTTAATCGACACAGCTGGGCGTATGCAAGACAACGAGGTATGCAACCCGGTACTATCATTGTCACAATCCTGATGGATCATTTCCGGCTAGCCTCTCATGCGTGCACTTGCCAAAGTATGATACGCCGTGGAAACTTCTTGGAACTCCGCTAATGAACTCCACAGCTTGTCTCCGCAAATAACCCAGACAAAATAATCTTTGTCGGCGAGGCCCTCGTTGGCAATGAGGCCGTCGACCAGCTTACTAAGTTCGACCGCGCTCTTCGTGACTTTTCGTCTGCATCCGGCTCGGGCAAGGGGCGTGGCATCGATGGCATGCTAGTGACCAAATGGGACACAGTGGATGACAAGGTGCGTGGTTTGCTTGCCGCAGCGATGATATCTAACACTCCCGCATAGGTTGGTGCAGCGCTCTCGATGACATATGTGACAGGCCAGCCAATCATTTTTGTCGGATGCGGCCAGGTTTGTTTTTATCTCTACCACTAACAAATAGCCCCATTCTGACTGCTTCAACAGACATATACAGACCTCCGGCAGCTGAGAGTTGCGAACGTTGTACAGGCGATACTAAGCGATTGATATTTTTGATGTAATTTTGCTATCTACTTGCTCTCTATATTGGATCAATACCAGTGTTGAAAAATTTTACGGCTGCCGAACATACACTGGCTATGTGATGAGTCGGAACTTTGAATCCTTTTCCTTCACGCATGAGGTTGAGAGACCACGTAGGTACTATACTATGTAACGGTCACCGACGCTGCCCAACAACCCCTATGCAATATACCTTCAATCCACTTGTTCCCATTCAGGTCTACTGGCTGTACTCATAATATTGGCTTATTCTTTCTACAGTTACTGTGATGCATTGAAGTTCACTCGGATGTGCGTACAATCCTGATTCAGACGTACCGCAAACTGGCACTTGCGGTGTAACTTTGTTTTACATCTTCAAAAGCACAACAGTATCAATACATAGTATAGACAATCTATGAAGCAAAGTAATCGAAAAAAGTAGCGGGCTCTGCAGCACATATGGCCTTACACGACTTATCACATGTTGTTTAACATTTGAACATGCGAAGAAAGGTGATACAAGACTGTACGACACGCTGCATAAGCCCGACAACTTCAGACTGGTCATTGAGATGACCCGGGGTTTGGAGAAGACATTCCTGTGTAGGTAGGTTAGCTTGTAAGTCTAAGAAGAAACCACTGTAAGTACACGGACCTTTGCAGGTTTCTCACCTTCGGAAACCCCGACAACTTCGGACTGGTTATTGAGACGATCTGGGGTGCGGAGAATATGTTCCTATATGCGTACTAGGTCGGCTTGCGAGTCTAGGAGGATACCATTGTGAACACACGTACCCTTGCAGGTTTATAGCCTTCGGAAACCCCAACAGCTTCAGATTGGTTATTGAGATGATCCGGAGCGGGGAGATGATGTTCCTGTGTGCGTAGGTCAACCTGCGACTCTAGGAGGATGACATTGTGAACGCACGTACCTTTACAAGTTTCTCGCCTTCGAAAACCCCAACAACTTCAGACTGGTTATTGAGATGACCCGGGGTGCGGAGAAGATGTTCCTGTATGTGTGGGTCAACTTGCGAGTCTAGGAGGATACCATTGTGAATGCACATACCTTTACAAGTTTCTCGCCTTCGAAAACCCCGACGACTTCCGACTGGTTATTGAGACGATCCGGGATACGGAGAAGATGTTCCTGTATGCGTAGGTCGGCTTACGATACTAAGAGGAAATCATCGTGAACACAGTGCACACACACCTTTGCAATTTTCTCGCCTTCAGCTAAAATGGTTAGGCAAGACTGTAGATCCTTCACACACCACTGTCTCTCGAGCCAGTCGAGGAGATGACGATCCCAGAAAGACTTAAATATATGGGCGAGTTTCTCGTCCCATGGCTTCGGAGCTCGCGAGGTATGGACAGCCCAGTTTTGACATGCGTAATTGAGAACATCGGAAGATGATTGACTTCGTTCGCGTGCTTTGTTTGCAAAAACAGAAAAGGTCTTCATTGCATGGATAATCTCCAAGTCTGGTAGGAGGTGGGGGTCTTGTGCGAATGTAGAGGTGGTGGAATGATCCTGGTGCCTTAACGCCAAGAACACAGGAAACATTAAGAAGTCCGGCAAGCTCTTAAACTGCTGAATGACTTGAAAAGCTGGCTGTGAAGACAATTCCGGGACGATCATGTGATGTTGTTTAATTGCTTCCAATGTGTTCGAAAATTCTTCCATTGCCACCCAAGCAGTCGTCAACCGCCACATTTGACCTTGTGGCGTCTGCAACCAGTCTCGCCCGTCTGGGGTTTGCAGCCAGTCCCGCGCACTCCGAGTCTGCAGCCAGTCATTCCCACCCCGAGTAGGCAGCCAGTCTTGTCCATCGTGGGTTTGCAGCCAGTCTTGCCCGTGCTCGCTTTGCAGCCAGTTTCGGCCGCCAAAGGCCTGTAGCCAGTCTTGGCCACCGAGAGTCTGCAGCCACTGTCGCCCGCCCTTGTTTTGCAGCCAGTCCGGTACCCCATGGGTCTGCACCCAGTGCCTCCCTCCCTGGGTCTGTAGCCAGTCCTTCCCCCCTTGGGTTTGTAGCCAGTCTTGCCCCCCCTGGGTCTGTACCCAGTCCTTCCCTACATGGCTCTGTACCCAGTCCTTCCCCTCCTGGCTCCGCAGCCAGCTGTTCCTACCCCGAGTCGGCAGTAATATTTTCTTGTACTGGGTCTGCGGTGGGTCCCACACAGACTGGCTCCGTGATCCCTCGGAATGTTGCATCTGCAATAGGTCCGGGATGGGCCCCATGTCAGAATGATGTATCTGCAATAGGTCCTGGGTTTGCGATAGGTCCCGGACCGGCCCCATGTCAGAATGCTGTTTCTGCAACAGATCCTGGGTCTGCGATAGGTCCCGGACCGGCCCCACGTCAGAATGCTGTTTCTGCAACAGGTCCTGGGTCTGCGATAGGTCCCAGATCGGCCCTATGTCAGGAAGCTGTATCTGCGATAGGTCCTGTGTCTGGGGTAAGTGTCGCAGAACTAACGACGGTATTCTTGCCAATATGGTTCGAATACGGGAGACTAAGTGTTGCCCACGCTGGGTCTGCAGCTGGTTGGAGATGTCCATCCAGCTTTGCGCCATCTCGATCTGCAGCCAGTTCTTCCCTTCCTGAGCTTGCAGCCAGGCACGCCCGTCCAGACTTTCCAGCCAGGCATGCCCGTCCTGAGTGCCTAGCCAGAATTGTAACTCTAAACTGCGAATTCCCCGAAGCCAGAGGAGAGTTACAAGCACTTGCATTGGTTCCGGCGGCTGGACGATGAAAGATAATGAGTGTGTTAGATTTTGGGGGTTGTGGGCTTCTATAACTTCTTCAATGCTAAGAGCGCATCCAACAGGGCTGAGCGGCCTGGGAGTTCTTGCACCATCAAGCGGAGAGAAGAATGTGCGAGTAGGGAGTGAGGTGAAGTGATATAGAGACTGCAGTTTGAGCGATGGGAAACATAGTCACGAACAGACGAGTGATAGATATTCACAGGGAGACTGCTGTTGGGAGGAACATCTATGACAGAGCGCAGTTGCACCAACACTTTCTCCACATCCCTGCCCTGACCAGGGCCAAGAAGTTCCGAGATTTGTGAGATCGGTAGAGGATCTGTAAGGGCAGTAACAATGGACAAGTGCAGGTATGCCAGCTTCGGATCAGCGCATGTGGAGAGGATGCGGTCATATAACTCGTACACCTCCGTTCCTGGTAGAAGTTCACTTGTGAGCTCAAGCATGAGGTGAAGCCGGTCACGGGGATCGTTGTGTCGATCGTCAATAAACTTCATCATTGTAGACGCCACAATGAAACGTCTGCCCGCTCGGATCGCCAGCTTCTCAATTTGATCCTGCGTTGGTTGTGGGAAGGTGGGAGAGCGATTTTGCAGCTTTCTGAATGAATGCTCCAAGAAACGATAGATATCTTCATCAACATCTGCGCCATCTAGCGAGATGATAGGAGTAACACCCTCCCCAGAAATCTTCACTGGTATCTCGCACAGCAACGGTCGCACATCTTCATTCTGCATGGCTTCACAAATATGCGCTTCCGAGCGACTCGTGACTAGAATATGGATCGAAGGTAGATCAGGATCGCGAAGAACTTGGGCGAGCAGGGAAATGAGTTCGGTAAGCTCGCTTTCAGATTCGTCTTCATCCCTGAATTCGGATGAGTATTCATTGGGGGATTCGTGTGTGCATTCATCAAGGGCGTCAACAACGAACGTCAAAGGCGGACACTCGCGTAGTCTGTGTTGAAGCTTCCGCAGAGGTTGCAGAAACAACCTCTCCATCTGCTTGCGAAGTGACTTGTCGGGGTCTAGAAGGGTGGGGTCCTTGAGGATAGCTCTGTTCACGTCTGTCTGAACGCTGGGAAAATTTTGAGCAAGTTGGTAGGCAAGTGTCATAAAGAAATAACCAGTCGTGCGGCGTTTCGTGTGCTTGCGCGAGAAAAAGAATGTTCCACCGAGCCGCGTTTCTACTTTCGTCTCCTCTGTCATTTTCAGACCTCTCATTCTTTCAGCTACAGTGAACGCTACAGCAGACTTCCCAACGCCGGCTGTACCATGCAACCAGATGAGTCTATTCATCTCTTTGGTATCGGATAATCCATAAATGTGGTTAAGAAGGACCACTCGGGTCCCTTCCAAACATTTCGGATGGGGCCGGCGTTCACGAGAGTCATGTTCAGCACCCTTCACAGCGACCTGGGAAAACTTCTCCCAGGTTCCTTCAGACATATCAAAGATCTGTTGATGATGTTAGAGAACGGGAGGGGGGGGATAAGAGATGGCCATACTGATGTTGGTTCTTTGAAGAGGGGGTGGTAATTATGACGATACAGATAAATGGAATGAACTTCGAGAAGTACTAGTGGGTACGACAGTTAGAAATCATAGAAGTATGGGTACCTCGCAACTTACGAGGACGCTGAATCGATGATTACAGGTTGACTGAGGTCGAGAAACAATATTTTGGCGTAGCTTACTGTGGAGTGATAAAGATTTCCAGGAGATGAATGCTAGTTCTAGCGCTGTGGAAAGCTCGCTGGAATCTGGTGGTGGGGTGTAGTGGAAGTTTTGAAGGACGACTAGGCGCTCGTCCGGTTTGCACGAGCGTCTTGCTCATCGGAGTAATCCCCTGACCAGCCTAGCCTTTGGCGCGGCACGCTAAAATTTTAGAAACATAAGTCGTGTAAATTGCAGCAGTTGGTTACAATAAGCTAGTAGGAGTCACAGAGCAATCAGAGACTACCCAGTGCCAGTCGCTGGGCGATTACTAATTTACGACGCGGTTTCGAGTCTAAGATGAAAAAAATCTCTCTGGCGGGGAGTCGAACCCCGCTCTCCCGCGTGACAGGCGGGTGTACTATCCGATATACTACCAGAGATATTTTAGGGCTCAAAACAAAATTATATAAACAGTCACGTCAATGAGGCTGAGCGGAGTTCGATCAGACTTCAATTCGATGCATGAATGAATGTGTGCTCAACAATATCCGCAGTCATCCTACATCCGAAAACGCTGCAACTCTTAAACTCCGAAAGTTTGTGCCCTCGCGTTCTCATTGTGGTTGTCCTATGTAAAAAAGGACTGGGGAATTACTACAGAAGGCAGATGGTAACACTACTTCTGCTAGGGAAGCACAATGATATCATTAGGTCCGTGGTTTTAGGAAAAGGATATCAGGCACGAAATACTACGTCTACTACGATCGTCCATCACAGTACTTCATCCATAAAGTGATCCCTAGCAAGCGCGGAGGTTATATTATCATGATGCGTAAGTTCAAGCCACGATTTCGGTTCTCACCTTTCTTGCTTCGTACTGCCATGCTAGTACTCACAAGTTCTGTACTGCTCGACTACGCTCCCATTTTGTCGCACCCAACCCCCTTCTAGTAGCTGCGTCTCGTTATTGTCTCTAAAGATTCATCATCCTGTTGCCGGTGAAACGTTACTCAACACATTACTTTCGATTCTGGCAGAATTGTCAAAACAGTCCGAACTGTGCTACGAGTTACTGTGGCCCCACCTGCCTATCAATACATTACAGTTCATGCTGGACTTTCTGCACATGTTCGAGACGATGCCTCGGGTCGCAAACCCTTCGTGTTGGAGCCAAAATCGCCTTACAACTATTGCTACTATTTCTAAAAATCAGATATCATTCCTGGGCGCTGATCTATAGATCTGATTTTTGCTTGGTAACACGAAAACTGACAGTAACACATAGAATAGCATCGGTAGAGAATGAAGGGAATTGGTTCTCTCGATAGAGCGATCCCAGTTGCAACGCGATAGCCACTACTGGTCTTGGTAACGGAATGTTCTGAAGACTGAGCCTCAAAAATATCTCGCCCTTTGAACATATGCAAGAAATTTGTATTCATAGGAGGGAACAATATATATCAATGAAGTAAACATAGATCGCATAGGTCCATAATTTAACTGACCGGACAGTCTATAATCGTACCAATGAAAGAGAACACAATCGAAATAACTCTATAGTATGGGCAGTCAATGTGTAGTAGTACTAGTGAAGGAAATCCGAAGGGATCAAGTTGGCCTGCCAGACATGCTACTAGTGTGCGGACTCTAAGACTGTAGGCGATGACCTTCAGCTTCCGAGTCGTAGGGAGCAGTGAAGGAGGCCGTTGTGCCGTATGGCGCGTCGTCGAGATATGGTCGTAGGGGACTTCTGACTCATCGAAGACTTACGGTATGTTGAGTGCGTAGTATGTGTGGGGGGGCCTGCAACCTCGTGGACAATGTGATTCCATGTCGTAGGGGACAGCGAGGGAGGCCAGTGCCATTAGGCGTCATCCGGATTGGTCGTAGGGGACTTTGACACCGGAGACATGTTAGATGCATCAACATCTGACGTTTTTGGTCATAGGAGACTCTAATAGTAAGATATCAGCAATGAAAGAAAGAGCATGAGTAGGCCACTCACTATCCGTAGATGTCGTGTGGAGTTCAACGGCTAGTACGGTATATTGTGACGGAAATTTTGGCGACTGCGAGGGGGTGCCGTCAAGAATAATGAGTTCCACATTTCGAAGTACGGTATCGATAGCATCGTGGTGTAGGGTGAGTCGTAATCGAAATTCCGAGGACTAAGAACGACTATCGTGAGTAGTAAGAGGTGCAATATTTCGTAGTATGATGGTGATGTCATGACGTAGGGAGTGTTGCGGTGCAAGTGTCGAGGGCCGAGACTGTGATTGGGACTGTCGTCGAGAGTAAACACTTGGAACTTCTGAAGTAGATTGTTAATCGTGTCATCATTATCATGTAGGGTGTGCTGCGGCTGCGACTGAAAGGGATCGTTCTCGAGGGAAAGAGCATCCATGTTTTGTAGTAGCATCTCGATAGTGTTATCGTGTAGAGTGGACTGCAGCTGAAGTTCTGATGACTGAGATGGACCATCGAGGGGGAAAGTATTTGTGTGGTGGAGTAGCGTGTCAGACTCGTTAGTGTTGACCTGTAGCACGTGTTGTAGTAGCTGAAGTTCTGATGCTTGAGAGGCATCGTCGCCGAGCGTAAGAGTTTCTGATTGTTGCAGTAGAGCGTCGATAGCGTGATTGTTGAGAGCAAGAGCGTCTGTGTTATTGCGCACCATGTCGATATCGTAGTTGTCGTCGAGAGTAAGAGTTGCTGATTTTTGTAGTAGAGCGTCGATGGCGATAGCATGGTTATCGTCGAGAGCAAGAGCGTCTGTGTTATTGGGTAGCACGTCGATATCGTAGCTGTCGTCGAGAGTAAGCGTTGCTAATTTTTGTAGGAGAGCGTCGATGCCGATAGCGTGGTTATCGTCGAGAGTAAAGGTTGCTGATTTTTGTAGTAGAGCGTTAATGGCAATGGCATGGTTGTCGTCGAGAGTAAGAGCGTCTGCATTTCTTGGTAGCGTATCGATAGCGAGGCCGTCGTCGAGAGCAAGAGCTTTTGTGTTATTTGATAGCGTGTTAACAGGGTGACAGTGTAGAGCAGGATGTGGCTGAAGTGTCAATAATGGAGATGGAACATCGTCGAGAGAAAGATCTAACATTCTTCGAATTAAGTCATCGATAAGGCAGTCGTGTACTAGGGTGCGTTGTGGCTGACATTTCGATGACTGAGGAGAATCGGGAGAAAGAGTTCCGAGTAGGTGGGCGATATTGTGATTGTCTGGGGTATGTGTTGACCGAAGCTCCGAAGGCTGAGATGGATCAGGTAGGGTGTCGATAGTGTGGTCGTATAGAGTGTGATGTGACGGAAGAGTTGACAAGTGAGAGGGTACATCGTCGAGAGAAAGATTTGAAATAGTAGAAGGTACACTGTCGAGAGAAAGGCTTGATAAGTGAAAGGGTACATCGTCAAGAAAGTATGATGAGATGTGAGGGAGTACATTGTCGAGAGAAAGAATCGATACATGAGAAGGTACATCGTCGAGAGAAAGAGTTGAAATGATAGGTACATTGTCGAGAGAAAGAATCGATACATGAGATGGTACATCGTCGAGAGAAAGAGTTGCCATTCTCCGGATTAGATTGTTGATAGTGTGAGAGTCAAATTCGGCATGCAAGGTGTGTTTCTGTTTGTCGTCCGTAAGGCACTGCGTTGTAGCCTGACAGGCATCCTACATACCCAAACTTTAGTTGTTAGAAGTTCAATCAATCGCGCCGCTTCTTACCTCGTAGAAAGTGCTTTCGTCAGAAAGCCACTCCGAGTCAAGGTCTGTGGTGTCTGAGACGCGATGACCTAAGAGGACGTCCTTGGCTAAGTCCTCATCGCGGGCTATGAGCGTCGTGTCGGAATCAATCATCGATAAGCCTTCGGTTTGGCCATCAAAGGCGGGCTGACTTGATTCAAGCATTGAGGATGACTGAGCTGGTGCTCCGAAAGCCTTGGTTATTGAGATAGCATCCACGATGTTGTCGCCAGAAAAAGCTGCGTTGGGCTCAGTGGTATCATCGACGTCCTTGTGAGCGGGGACGCCTTGGAAATCGTCGCTGAGGAATTGTCGAGCAGCTTTAGCGGTGGCTAGAAGAAGGACAGTTGTCGAGGAGTAGACAGTGGATGTGACAAGGCTTATGGAAACCTTCTCCGATCTGGACACGACCTGAATAGTGCGGTCGATGACGATTTCTTTGAAGAAAGCGGCTGTAAGATAACCTTGGAGAGCAACACGGGCGGCACGGGTTAAGGTAGTAGTAGAGATCATATTGGTGAATGAATGAAGGATCGTAAAGATATGCTGGCGGGCGTGAAATGATGGTAATGGCGGAACTGACTGAGGGATATCATTGCGACGACAAACACGATATATTTATACTCCAAGTTCAAACCTTAAGTTTGCACACCGATAAACAGAGCCGATCGCGACGCGGGGTCAGTCACGTGTTTGAAAAATCAACATATATAAGTTCGGGGCACTGGACAATAAATACCATGTCCCCGCCCGCCCACTGCATAGTAGGATGAGAACACAATCTAGGCCATCTTGAGATTATTCAGTGTACATAAATACCGCCAAAATCTGGTACACCGAAGGTGCTTCGTCAAAAGGAAACCGGATCATTACGATGACTGAGACTGGACGAGATCAACGTACCGCCGTTTCATATACCATGGTTGCAAGTATCTTCTTTCATGCCAGGCTTATTGCGAGAAAGTAAAACTGAGTCACAATATTCTTGTGACAAGTCCTTCAACCCTCGATACAAGGTGTATGGTACTCCATAGCACATAGCACCCGCTTTTTGTAGTTCCGGCAGTCCTGGAGCAACTCAGGGATGTCAAGGTCAAGATACACCACGATACAATGAGGTCTTGGAGGCCTCAGGCTTTAAACGTCCTTATCATAGTTTATGATCAACCCAGCAATGGAAGTACAACGTACCTCCTGAAAAACAGAGACTGAACTAAGTTTTTCTTTGTTAGTGAGCTGCTGCACAACCATTCAATCACTCGAAGAATCTCTATGACAATGGCATAACTCACCAGGTCAGAACGATGGACACAGGCCAGTGTGCCAACCAAAAGGCGTTGGTTAACCGGTGAATACTGACTCGCGAACAAGTCTAAGATACAGTCTAAGGAGTTGGGATAGGAATTGGATGGGAGGCTCACTCATGATGCATTGAATGAGCATGAAGAGGCGAGAACAAAATGATCCAGAAGGTATTGCCGAAAAGAAACAGACGGCGTTTGTGTAGACTCAACCCAATGCCCAAGCTCCTCGTAGATGCATTCACAGATAAGGCAGCTGCGTACTTTTCCATGTAGGTGATTTTTCTTTCATTCTGGGTTGTACATCGTCGAGCTTCGGGAATATAAACAGACAGGACATATTCCATCGGTTCCATAAAGACAACGGCCAGCTCCACAACATTAAGGTGACGGTATTGCTAGTCAAAAAAGGTGCGACGAGGGACAAGGCAAAGGTTGTGGAACGCATTCTTTTGGGACACCCCAAAGGTTAGATGGTCCAATATGCGGTCTCGGCGCATTCCCGCAGCTGGAAAAACGGAGAAGTGGTATGACCGTTTTTCGTGACTGAAGGTGCCAGAATCAACCGGCGCAGAAGAAAGGAAGCCTGTGAGCAATATTTGCAGGTCTGACCTTCTGCACAAAATTGGTTTCGAAGATCTCAAATAAAAATACTTGATTTCTTGAAAACCACGATTTGAGCAGGGGTGACTTTGAGGAGCGTTCATGTCGGAACACACACAACACGAGAACCTCCAACCTGCACAAAAATTGTATATTAGTTCAACAGTTTAGCCTTGGTGCTCACCTTGCCCGGAGGAATCAGGATGCAGTCAAGTTTTCGAGTAGAAAAAATTCAAAGAAAGATAATCATTTACAAGTCACTGTATAACCTCCTAGGGCGTCATAGCCAAGTGGTTACGGCGACAGATTAGAAATCTGTTCCTCTTTGAGGGCGTAGGTTCGAATCCTGCTGACGTCGCTCATCTTTTTCTCGGTGGTGGATCGGAATTTGGTCCTAGCACTGGCTTTGATCATTATTCATCATGGTCGTGGACAATACATGACACAAGATGCCACTGAGTCAGATTGAAACCAAGCACGACGGCAATACCGTGTTACCAACTACCGGTCCACCCATTTGAGACAAATGTCGGAGGTCGGATTTTATTTGTCGTGATCAATACGTAGCGGACATAAGCTTCTTTCAGATTCCAGAGGAGCCGAGCACGCCGCAGATACGTGGTGAAATCAGATGTAGTACCAGAGGGCTAATACGCATCGACATTCAGAAAATTGACGATTACTGGCCCCACTCAACCACTCCGTGAACTAGGCTAAACAGGGACTTCAACAATTTAATTGTCACGGCTGCCGCTTCTGATCAGCAAGGGCGATGTGACAGGCAATCGGACCCGCGATCACGGAAACCGTCTTCCTAATTTTCTATCAACCGAGTCGGGGTCGACAGAAAGCATGCGGCATACGATCGTGTTAAGGATTCCGTGGTTCTGAAGAATGATTGCGATGTACGTACAGCATGCTATTCGCTTTGACCTGATATGACCGCTTCGGGCGCTCCGGGGCTGATTCTTTCCGGACTCTTCTGTCAATATAGCCGCTGGGCAGACGATCCTGTGCAACGTGCATGAATATTTATTAATTTTGTCACAAGTACTCCATGAGGACACTTTGATGCTTCTTTGGAGGAAGCGGCCGGCAATTTGTGAAGTGACGTAGTAGGGGAATACTCTGATTCATAACCGATGTCAATAATAAATATGGAAGAATGTGTAAGGAAAATCATCATACCGCAGGCACGCAAATATCTTGACCCCTTCTAGCTGTGTGAGCGGTGATCTTCAAGTTCACAGGGAGTCCGTCCAAGCCCGGTGTAGGCTATACGTCCTTAGGCCATCCTCTCGGTAATTAGCCTAGGTGTCGGTGGTTGAAAACTTGCAAGGGCTCCACGCTGTCAACATTGTCCGAGGGAGTAAGCTGCAGTTCATCAAGTCACATTAGGAGGCCCTAGAACACACATAATAAGTTTGATGAGCCACACCCATGTTTGATTGGACGGTCTGACTTCCAAACCATAGTCTAGAAGAAGTTCTTTCATGACTCAAAACTCCGTTAGCGAGGAAAAGGGAAAAAGGTTGACTCATCGGCAATACCCTCACCTTACGTCGACCATGATTTTTTTTTCATGAGAGCGAATCACTACTGCCAATCGAGTACTAGCCTCTCACAATTCCCTAGAAGCTCGCATAGAGTTGAATCGTTTCTGCAAACATGATCATGATCAGGGATGCGACCCTAGGGAACTAATCAAAAAAAAAGTTTGGCTCTTCACAGACCAAAGGAGCATACAGCGGTTGCAAACCAGAAGAGAGTTTTTTCCTTTTTGTATCCTTGTTTATTGTCCTGTGGGGAGAAGTCCTATTATGGACACTACTGTTCAGCTACTCGATGTAGAACGATTAAGTTCACAGCTTATCAGTAAATATACCTACTGGCACATATGCTGCGACAGATCGGACGTGCTCCGTGAAAAAAAAGGCTTGAAAGGGACAACAAGGAAAGAGTTGCTCACATATGTCGAGTTAGTCACCCCTAAGCAGACAATGAAGATGGTCGTTAGCGTCATGTGTGGAAAATAGGCGGACATGCTTTTGGAATCGTCGTCGAACAGTGCAGCTGCGAGAAGTGGAAGTGATGGGAACAGAAGTGCGACTTCACCTCGCCACTACAATGAGATTTGCAACCCATACAACATGCAACGATTTGGAACAAAATCCTCAAATACAGGGGTGAACTGCTAATCGGTGTAGAACTGAGGCATTCCTGAATGTGGATGCTGAGAACAGGGGAGGAGAAACGAAGGGCCGATGAGAAAAGAGGAGCATGATAAAGCCTGGGTATGTGCCGAGCACACACAGTGCAAAGCCTCCATTCAGAAGCGTCTCGGCGAAATGATGCCAGCGCCATCCTCAACGCGTTTGTGGAGCGGGACTATGATTCACAGAGGCGACAACGGTTCGTCAAAGGAAATAGCGATGCTGCGGTGACCTATGAATTGATAGGTGCATAGAAGTGCATGATCGCCTCGGACCATAAGGCTACTGCAATGTGCAGATCAGCAAGAAGCCGCACAGACCAAACCACATCCGCCCGGAGCCCAATCGCTAAGATCGCGCATCAAGATTCAAGATTGCACAGCAGCATTCTCTTCCAACCACCCCCTCACATCCTTCTTGCTCACCAATCTCATCACCCTCATCCTCTCCTCCGGCGTGCGCTCGCGATACAAACGCATAACATACCCACAAACGCTCCACACGTCCTCCCAAGGCGCATCAAAGAGGTCCCACCAGCAATGAGGTGGCGAAGAAGGCAGTGATATGTCGAGATGACGAGAAGCAAGGAGAATAGCTGCGCTCACTATCGTTGGGACTGCGTATAACGCGTAAACGGGCGTTTGCAGGCTACGCTCCCATCAGAACGTGCGACGCAATGCATCATATAGACCATAAGAATCACTCACGCATCATTAAGGTACCCCCACGCCCTCGCACAAGCATCCTTCCGGCTCGTCAACCCCAAAACGCGGAGATAGTTTATGAGCGTGCCATATGGCAGGACCACGTGGACGTTGAACCCCAGTCGCTTGAGGATCTGCATCTCAGCTACGACTAGTGCATCTTTGAGATCATAGAAGGTGTTGCCAAAGTAAGACATTGGTGCGTATTTGAATGTGTCTTTGTTTTGGGGCGAGGAGAGGGTGTGGGATGTGCGTTGGAGAAGAAGGTCGTAGATGTTGATGAGGTCGCGCATCCGGAGCGGACATTCTTCAAGTTTGGATGCGAGGTATAGGGCTCCCATTCCGATGTCCTGTGTGATGAACATGGGTGGTGGGTTGTGGGTGGGATCAAAAGCAGAGGACTTACACCGATACCGAACTGTTTCATGGAAGTCACATACCAGAAACGTTGGAACAGGATTTGGGCAGTGGCTACAGCAACTTGCTTTCTGTCCAAGGGTTTCATGATTGATTGACTACAAACGTTGCACTGGGGTATGAAGACGTACTGTTTTAGCAATATACCGGCTTCATGAATGAGCTTGCACCCAAATGCCCTCAGATCCTCCTCCAATTCCGCAGGTATACCATCCCCTCTAGAAGGTGTGCGTTCTATCTGAGACGTCGAAGCTAGTGGCACCAGATCGACATGCATGTCTAATGCTCCTCTCAAGCGTTGCACTGCCAACGCAGACTGGAAGATTACTGGATTCAATCTCCGCGGCACTAAATACACGCACAACTTCAGAAACCACAAAATATCTGAATCATGCAACTCCCCATGAGCGGTCTACCTCCCAAACCAGAAGTTAGCAGAACAGCAAATAGTTGGCCTGAACCTACAGACGACAGGAGGTATGTAGGTCGACCGGTGCCAATGGCTGCACCAGACCATTACCGTCCCCGACGCGACGACAGAGACAGAGAGAGAGACCGCGACCGTGACCGCGAACGAGACAGGGATAGAGACAGAGAACGAGATAGAGACAGAGACAGAGATAGAAGCTATCACCCTCCCAGGTCGCCACCACCACGTTCGCCTCGAGGAAGAGACACCTACACCTCACCTTCTCGAAACGACACCCATCGCGAGTACTACCACCGTGACGAGCGCCACAGGGGAGAGAGAGGATGGGAACCAGACCGAAGGGCTTCGGAGCATAGGGACGACAGGGCTTGGACGCGCGATGAGCATACAGGGAGGGGACGAGGGCGCGGGAGGGGTCGTGTTTCGCCGCGCAGAGGGAATACCTATCGTGGTGGAGGAGGAAGTTGGCGAGGCCGCGATTCGGAGCGAGATAGGGACTATGGAGGGAGGGGAAGGAGTCGGGAGTATGACAGGAATAATCGTGATAGACGAAGATTCGATGATAGGGAGAGATCGAGTATGCACAGAGCTCCGTATTCTCCACGTCAAGGTAACGCCAAAGTATGTTGTGCTATTGACTCTTAATTCTTGACTTTGTAGATTCAAATGAACGCCGTCGGGAGCACTATTCGCCTGCCAGGTCTCCTCGTCGTTCATACTCACCCAGGCGATACAGCAGGCCACCTTCCCCTGATGGCAGCACTCATCGACATTCATCGAGATCTCCGGTAAAGCGCGATCTAGGACATTCTCCCCGTCCACCTTCAGCGCCCCGAAGTCGCTATTCAGACCACCGCGGTGATGACAGGCGACGCGGGAGTCAAACTCCCAGTCCCCGTCCCTCAAAGCGCTCCTTGTCTCGAGATGTCAAGCCCGAGCCTACGCACGAAGAAACGCGTCTCCCGGCTTCCCCAACACACTCCCAACGCTCGCTCCGCGCCCCAGAAGAAAAACCAGCCACCAAGTCTGCCTCCCCACATGTCAAAGCTGAATCTAACGATGACCTACGCCACGTTCAAGATCTCAAAGTCGAGTCAATCCTTGAAGATGTTCGCTCTCCGGCTTCAAGCCCAAAAGCCAAGGAGGAGTCAGCAGACCAAGATGCCGAGGGAGACTTCAAAATGCGCGACCGTTCCCCCCATCCACCGTCCCACTCATCTTATCACGCTATTAAAACGCCTCCAACTCCAGCATCTCCCGCTCCATCCTTTAGACACCCAATACCGGAAGACCCCTCAGGTGATATGCCTAGACCCCCCACAGCACCTTTCCTCCCCCCCTTCACGCGCCGGGAAACTCTCAAAGACCGCCTAGGCCAAAAATATAAAGACGAGGTATTGTAAATTCATTCATTCCTATCACATCGCACGTTTAACACAGCACAGCTATCCCAAATCGAAGCTATCGAAGCTAGCCGTTCGCGTGCAGCATCCGAACAAGTGCAAAACTCCAAAGCCGTCCGTCGAGCGTTGCACGAACTGGATCTCACAACTATAGACCTTCGTGCTGCTCAGATACGACGCGAGCATGCGGAGAATCACCGGAAGAAAGCTGCGAGTGCGAATGGGTTTTTTGATTTTGAGGCAGAGTTCCCTATAGCTTGAGCTCCGAGTACTAATCCCTACTAGACCACTATCACGAGCTGTGTAACGTAACTGGAAGGCTACTGCTGGCTACCGCCACCGATGCTAATAATAACTGCCTGACGTACTATCTTGTGGGAGATAGTGGAGTGCCCTTGCTTCTGCACCGTGGTGAGCTGCGTTGATCGTGGAGCGTACATACCTTGAAGTAGATTGTATTTATTTTGAAAATGTGGTAGGGGATAAGGCGACAGTCACTGAAAGGATCCGGTTGTTTGATGTATTGAAGGCCGGGCTGTCAGGGACGCGCGCCATAACTTACGGAAATGAACGGTTGGCGTCGTCCACGTCGGAATGTGGCTGAAGACTAGTTGGCATAATGTTGGCAAGATGAACGTTGCCGTTGAAAAGCGGTAATTGTGTGGGGCCATGGCATGAGGTGATCATATGCTACGATTCCACTATCTGAAAAGGCTCAGATGACATGCTATGTAATAGTATACAGTGTGGAGTTAATGCTGGTAATTATGAATCTAACTTGCTGTGCTCTGGGTGTAGAGGAAACGTACTGTGCGAATTAAGCGGTGTGATGGAAGGGCGGCAAAATATGTGGCAAACATCAGGTGGCGCTATACATAATCGGATGTATACATATACTCGCTGAAGGCATGTTAGAAAGGGGTTGAGGAGGGGAGATAAATAACTGACGAAAGGGAAAAGCCGGAGTAGAGGATGGTGTTAATAAGGATGCCCCTAAGATGGGCGATCAGGCCGGGTGGCGGTATATACGTGAGAACGACCCTGTGTGTCGGTATGGTGGACACCGGCTGCCCAGCGTTGTAAATCGGCGTTGCGGCGTTTTACACGCAAATGATCACGGTTGTGGTCGTCATTGTGATCACGTTTCCGCTTGGAAGGTCTGTGTGTGTAGGGTGGATGTGACAGGTCTTGGTCAGGATCGGGTAAATCGAATTTGAGGAAAGTAGGAGAATGATACGGAAGCGGACGAGGAGCGAGCAGAGGAACGTCGCAAACTACACGTAGTGTGACTGGTTCTGGAGAAGGTGATAGATCGGTTGAGAAGGAAGAACATGTTTCAGAAGGAGACGGAGGAACTGAGAAGATGATATAATTAGGAGGTGAATTTGTTTGATTAAGAATAAGGACTTACAGTAGGTATTGTGTTTGTCGAAAGTATTCCAAGGGAATAAGTCAGACCAGCAATAATCATCTAGAGGGAAAGTTGCCGATGACCAGCAATCAGGCGATACTAGTAAAGACATGATGGTGAGAGAGGAAGAGGGAAGGATGAGGCATGGGTCTTATATGGAGAGGTGAGACCTTCTGAACGCGATATAAGGGGGTTTCATCATTACATCAATTTGATATTCATATTTTAAAGTCCGATCAAGTACTCATAAACTAGTTGGTCGGTATCACTCACACAGGAAAATGTCGCTCAGATACCTCATTCGCCGCAATTCTCGTGGTTCCTTACCTGTCTATACTGACATTCGTAATGGTGGCACAAGATACCTCGTATCAATCCGGAATGTTCAAGGACAACTCAGTGTAATTGTCTTTCTTTCCTTTTGTTTCATTTTTTTTGACACCCCTTTAGTCTCTTGCCAACGATTTAAAACAATCTCTATTCAGCCACAATTCTCCGGAGGCTGCTCGACTTAAAGTACAAGTCGTAGCACAAAGGCACCTTGTCATCTCGGGTGGCCGTTGGAAAAATGATGTGATCAATTGGCTCACGTCCAAGGGTTTTTGACTAGTCACATGTTAATCGTCGCGTACTAGCTAGTATTTACATGTCAGCTTCTTCCGTCTCCGGATCCGTTCCGTCCGGATAATCTCAAGAGATAATCATCATCATCTGTTTTTTTTCCATAACCACACACCTCTTACACTCGTCTGCCTAAATGTCTACCCCTCTCCCAACCACAACTGCCCCTCAACCAACACCAGCCGTTGTTGCTGCTGCTGCTGCTGCTACTGCCATCCCTCGATCAGCACAGCGCGATGCTGGAAATAGCAAGTTGGGAACATTTGGGGTTCGCCATCCAACATTTTACATTATACACCAAATACTCACCATTCCCAGGTCAAATCAGGCTTGGCTCAAATGCTCAAGGTAACACCACCCCCAAACACATACTCATTCGTCCTTATCTCTTCCAGGGAGGTGTCATCATGGATGTCATCAATCCAGAGCAGGTGCGAATTATCATTTCCTACCCCTGACTTTTCACTCACCATGTCTCATTTCAGGCACGCATTGCCGAGGAGGCAGGGGCATGTGCTGTCATGGCACTCGAACGTGTTCCTGCAGATATTCGCAAAGAGGGGGGTGTTTCACGCATGGTACACCTTGATTCCTTTTTCAAACATGTTTCATTGATCCACCCTCCAGAGCGACCCCGCTATGATCAAGTCCATCGTTGATGCGGTAACCATTCCTGTCATGGCAAAAGTTCGCATCGGTCACTTTGTAGAAGCCCAGGTCAGTCCCTATTTTCATCTTGATCCCAACTCGCCTAATTACATTCCTTGGCACTGCTATCCTAGATCCTACAAGCCATCGGCATAGATTACATCGATGAGTCTGAAGTTCTCTCTCCTGCAGACGACGAACACCACATCAACAAGCACAATTTCAAAGTGCCTTTCGTATGCGGCGCCCGTAACCTCGGCGAGGCCCTTCGTCGCATCTCAGAAGGAGCCGCTTTCATCCGCACAAAAGGCGAGGCAGGTACAGGTAACGTTGTCGAGGCGGTTCGCCACCAGCGATCAGTCATGAGTGAGATCAGAAAGGCTAGCGTTATGAGCGAAGAAGAGCTGTATGCATATGCAAAGGAGATACAGGCTCCGTTCCACCTTCTCAAGGAAACAGCCCGCCTCAAACGGTTGCCGGTCGTCAATTTTGCTGCTGGGGGTATCGCCACGCCTGGTATGTCCATCCGGCGATGCTGTAAAACAAGACAACTGAAATTCACGGATCTTAGCTGATGCTGCGCTTATGATGCAGCTGGGCTGTGATGGAAGTGAGTTGTATGAAAGCCTCCTTGGCCTTGATACTGATCCAAGCGGTTAATAGTTTTTGTCGGTTCGGGCATTTTCCACGTAGGTCCTCGTTGACTTGCGGCTAATCTCTATTCACTATCTCTACTCATTCTCTTTCCAGTCTGGCGATCCGGCTAAACGGGCGCGAGCCATCGTGCAAGCAGTAACTTATCTCCTTCCATCGATCATATCATCTCAACTGACACGACGCATTAGGTGACTCATCACAACAACCCCAAGATGCTTGCTGAGGTGGGTCTCGTTATTTCATCACGACTACGTGTTTCACCCTAAAATCAAAATTAGGTATCAGAAGATATTGGTCCTGCTATGGTCGGTCTCACGATGTAAGTTTCATGTTTATAATTACTCTTGTTGGAACAGATGTTGATGTCCATCATTCTTTAGCGATGCAAATCTAAAGGGGGGGAGACTCGCTTCCCGCGGGTGGTGAACCAAAACAAGAGCAAAAGGAAGCGATTCCACTACGCGATTGTGATTGTGCGTGGTAGACGTAAACTTATAGGTCTATGTATATAAACTAGATTGCGTATGGCGCAAGATGTTCGCTTCAATGTGTTTCTCCAAAAACGGCCAGTCGAGCGTCCATTCCATATACGTATTGGGGTAGGTCTTGTGTACACCTTTACTGGAAAGTCTGTGAGTGGCACTTATGGCTAACCGATTTCAGATAGACTCTGATTTTAAAAGTCCGCCTGTGGAGACAAAGGCCTTGACGTACTTCCCCACACAGCTCACTTCTTACCGCACGTCTTGATTGATACGGCAAAGGTTACTGCAGACCTTGTAGCGCTTTACCATGTCAACCAAGACTCGAGAGAAAATGTAATGACAAATCGGTTTAACTTGTCCGTTCTGTCGACGAACTCCAACTTGACACCTGAAGGCCTGATGCCATCATGATTTCGGTCGTAGTAATGCCTCATGACTTCAACGATGCTGTCACAAGCCAGACAACTGATACGAGTTTCTTGAAGGATGACCGTTCCCCTGAGTTCGGTCTGGACTCTGGGCTTGTCACTCACCACACGGACCTTTGATTCAGTCCGAATCCAGGTCTGTCCATGATACGTGGCTTTTTATCTAAAGGCACGATCGCAGGCCCAGGAACTTGAAACCATGCGCGAGCCTGAGGAGCAACGAGAATTAATAGTTCATTGTTGGTTCATTGGTTTCCTTCGAACAACTGAACAAGCAAACAAGACTGCTGATGCCATGCCAATGTTCTACATATAAACAATCATACACATCACTCTCATTCTACGAGCTCCAGAAGACGAACTTGAAGCTTTGGATTTGTCGCTTACGACCTCCCGAGCTGGGCTTAGTCACTTTGTCCGTGTCTATTACGTAGTTCTTTGTCTAAAGGCACGATTGCAGCCCCGGAGACAACACCGAGAGAAGACCACGAGTTCATTAATTTCCTTCAAACAAAAACTGCTGTGCTATATCCTACATGCATCCAACTGAGTCATTCATCAAAAGCGTTACGCAAATGTACTTCCACATCCTTTCACATGAAATGCATCTTCTTGGCCAGATTAGCGTGTTTGTCTTTAAAATTTTTCCTCCAGCGTTCAAGGTCGAAAGCGTCGTCATGGCTAGATATGGTAGCAGCGTCGAAACCCATGGCAGGGTTGAAATGGAACGCGCCACGCGCACAAACGATCTGTTGAATGGTTATAGTTAGTTGTGGATGCTGGGCGGCACGGGATGGGATGGGATACTTGCATCGGCGTCTTTGGGCGAGAAAAAGAACGTGTCAGACGCATGCACTGTAGATAAATAGATATAACTCACAATAAACGGGAGCCGGAATAGAGACGGAACGCGTCGCACGCGCGTAAGAATGGCACAACGTAAACGCGAGCTCTTGCAGGCTAAAGAAAGGTGAGGGGGTATTATGACAAACGTTAGGCTGCGGACTTACTCGTCTGTGTTGTGCTTATACACGTCATCCCTTAGCGTGATGTAATGACTCGGCCTGCTAGCTGTACAAGCAATCAGCGGTCGAAAAAGGTTGAGTAACTGTAATAAACGAACTTCCGAGGAGACCACCGTGCGATTGCAAGTAGAAGTCGCGCACTGCTGGATTTCCCACTCCCTGATCGGCAACAAATCCTGCGGGACAGTTACCAGACTTGTCCCCATCGTTCCTATCCATTCATAAATCGACTAGAAACGATGGTAACAACCGAGCGGCATACCTATTCCTTGGGAAGAATCGGACATGGTGTCTTGAAAAAACACAGCGGATGAGCGACAAAAGCGGATGCATAGAATAGATCGCGGACTTACCTTTTGCCTACGACGATGAACGTCAGTTCAGGTTTTGCGCCCTTTATGCCTTTGTCCCGCCAGATGTCATCAATCGCCCCTAGTAGACATGGTGAAAACAAGAAATGGCCGTCGCTGAACTAACTCACCTGTGATATCCTCAATCTCCTCTTGTCCCGTGAGCGCATATTCTCCTTCGGAAAGGCCATCTCGGAAGAAAATGATGCGTACGGGTGCGGCCCTGTTACGCTCGCCAAACTCGAAGATCGCACGCTTGTGATAGTTGAACCACGTGTACATATGACAGACGGAAAGAGCTTACATATACCAATTTGCGTAATTCGTCTATTTTTTCTTGGCGGGGGTGTTGAACCGACATCATCGATTCGTACCGTGCAGCATACCGATCAAACGAATATACGAGAGATGCCACAGAGGGCTGGTTGATCATGCCAGGTGCGGGATGCCCTACATCGGCACCTGGTGCAGGATGAACCAGCCTTCGATGAGTCTCCAAGGCCAAACAGGAACGGTACATACCCATAATCATGAATGGAGCGCTCATGAGCTTCTCCAACGCACCTGACCTTGGTAATGAATTGACGCCTCCAAGTTTGGCGTTGATCCTACCAAACGAGTCAGGGGTGCACATCGAGACAGAGAACAAAATTCAACGCACTTCATGCCTAGATTCGCACAGTACTGATCATTTGCTCTCTCGATCTTGTTCTCTCGCTAGATGAAGGAGATTATAATGGAGGTCGCAAACAACGCGACATGACTTACGACACACTGTGTTGGGAACTAGGCAAGATGTAAGCATCATTCGAACCCAATCAGGCAAGAACACATACACCAGCAATAACATCACCAAACGATTTGATGGCGTGATAAATGTCCGTTGAGCTTGTGGGCAGTATGGCCAATACCATCTCCGGATCTTTGCCTATCCTGCTGCTGACGGCATTTTTAAGCGATCTCATGTCCTGCTTAACATGAGCACGTGTTAGTGGATGAATCGATGTAGCACTTACGTTTACCACAGACGACGCGCCAGCACAAGATTGACTCGCCGCAGGCGGGGATACATCTGCCAGATAACGATCAGTAGCTAGAAATGAAATTCGATATCCCATTTACTCATTCCTAAGATAGACAAGGTTAGTTTGAGATACATAGAAGATAGAAACACTGATGCATACCAAGTTTCTTGCATGCGTTGAGCAAAGTGTTGACGAACCGATTAATCGTCTGGTCGTTGACCCTTGAGTAATTAAGAATGCCCCAGGACGATAGACCCTTCGGTTCATGGAAGATCTGGTCAATGACATTCCATGACCCATTTCGCGGTTGCTGTAATTCAAGAATCAAATCATTGCGCCTCATGCATGCTGACATCCTGGACTTACCACCGGTCTACTAGCGGCAGCATTGCCGTAGTGGATTTTCGGCGTGGGGAGGACACGTCCGGTGACTAGGATAGGGTCGGGAGATACAGTGATCCCCGCGTCTTGCAAGAAAGGAGAATTCTGATAATCTAGGGCCTGTACAAGCAGTCAATCAAACGCATGCAAAGATGAATGTGGCACCTACAGAGCGTTGGTCGGTCGTAATGGCGTTGCTGATGCCAGCGCTGATGAGTGCCAGGCGTTCGTGAGGGTTCTTGGAAGAAAATTTAACCATCGCCGGTGAGAATTCGGGAGGAAGTTTTCGCGTGTAACGTTGGTCGGGCGCGATAGCACACATTTCCGCTGGGATGACTTCATCCCGGTCCTTTGATCCAACTTGAATGCCGATGATATTTGGATAGTTTAGTGGGCGACTCCAAGCTTTCTTGAAGTAGTCCTACAATCGCGCTGAGAGAAGCTGTTATGGTGTGATTCGTATGAAAACATACCTTGACCGTCGTATTCTCGAACTCGAAGTTTCCAGCGTTAGCAACCAATCCCCGAATCTTTTTAAGACCCGGCCGGTGAACGAGCGTGACAGAAACGCCTTTGAAGAAGTTCTTCAACTGCCTGAATTGTGGGGAGTCTGGGCGGAGGTCCAGTGCACGGACGTCGTTCTGCTTGAGAACAGCAAGAGCGGCGGTCTGAAAGCTACCCTGCTTGAACCTAAGATTTACATGAGTGTTAACGTATAGTAATTGAGAGATAGCTTGCTTACATAACCGCTGTCGACACATCAATGTTCACCAAAACCTTCCCTATAGTAGGGCGAACGCTCCTATTGTATGTTAGTCAAATGTGCGTCGCCACAGGGATCCTGAGCTCACTGAAAGTATCCGCGCCACAATTCTAGACCTCCACCTAGGGTCTGTATCCCGGCGTCTTTGGTGAAAAACGCCCGCGTGTTGTTCGGATATTTCCTTTGGAAAACAATGAGCATCGCTACCCGAATACTGATAAAAGCCAAACGGACAAATTTGGTGCCTGGCGGATGATCAGCTGCAGCACGTTAATCGCAGTTAGAACTTGAGGAGTCTGCTTGGTCTGTTTTCCGTCGATGAATGCTTGCAAACCGCTGTAATTCGGCAGTAAGCGGAGGTTGAAAAAAAAACTCGCTCGATAGAAGTACACACCTGAAGTCGATCGGGTCGGCAGCGACCTTCTTCAGGTATACCTGCACGATCCCGCGTGTCGGGGCAGAGCCATCCGTTCGGGGTTTGTTCGACATGTTCACTTCGAACTTAACCAAAAGCAGATATTGATAAGTAGCTCCGACTTCAACACCCTGACTCTTACGGTTTGGGAGTCCCCGCCAGATAATGGAAGCTCACGGGGACAGTACATAATAACGGCGCCGTCGAAGATACAGCGCGGCGTAAATAATTTGGGGTCGGTGTGGTTTTGAAGGCGCTCGAAGACCTCGGTCCTCCTCCGAGGGTTCTTCATATCCTTCCCGCTACCGGAGATCGCTATACTCGAGTGAGATGCCGTCATTGGCCATCAGGTACAGATACTCACAAACTATATGAAGTTCAACCGCTGTGTCATTGTAGTAAGAGTGAAGCTTACCTTCATACTGATAATACCGCGTCCTAGTCGGCAGCTTGGAAATGACAAACGAGTTTGTCAAGACCTGTTGAGGAACACCTCTGCCTCGAGTAGACATTTGTGAGTAATTGTGGGTAGGTGATGTAAAAAAGAATTCGATTGAATTGACTGGAAACTGAGCGCAGGAAAGGGGGGTATATATACCTGTGGATTATCGATGATGATTTCACCAGGAGTCCAGCGTGTCAGCTCAATCCGACCGATATGGACGTGATCATTGACATACTGATCAGATAAGTTGATTCCTGGGGTGCTCTGATGGGCCGCATTGCGATAACGTAGGATAACGTTCATCTTTTCCGTGACGATCGGTGGGGTCAGGGCCGTCAGGCAGCAAGCAGCTTCTGATCAGTACTCAAGGCGACTCAAGGGGGATATGAGCACACTCAAGCTTCTCAGATCACGCAGAATAGGAGCAGAGAAGCCTAGAATTAGGACGAAGAAATTTGATAAAGCGCAAAAGAACATGTCCAAAGTAGCAGATGATATGTAGAAGGGAATATGATAAAGAACCCGCTCCTGAGTATTGGGTCATCATACAATTCTTGCAGCCACGAGACATCACGAAGGCGTACAATCTCAGCGGCGTGACCCCACCCCAAGCTGATCACAACCCTCCTTCAGCAGCAAGGGCTCGACTGCTGTTGCTGAACAGATTGACCTGGTGTGACTGTTGACGATTTGGCGCCACCAGCAGGCGTCGAGGTCGATCCCATTCTTTAAACAAGTCAGACAAGCTGCATAAGCGCTGGGTAATAAATTTTGCGTACCTATCCTTGATCTGTTTCGCCATCGTCAAAAATGATTGTTCAACGTTTGTCGCATTCTTTGCGGACGTCTCCAGGAAAGGAATGTTAAGCTGATCGGCAAATTCCTGTTAAGGTGGTTAGAATATCCCTAAACGAAATATTCTAAGCAAATACTCGCCTTCGCCACACTGTACTCCACCACCTTCTTACTGGTGAGATCACTCTTATTCCCAACCAGTAGCTTATTGACGCCCTCGGAGGCGTACCTATCTATCTCCTGTAGCCATTGCTTGACATTCGTAAAGGTGTCTTATTGTCGTTGGTAAGTGCTCAAGTCCGCGTTTCAGGCCAGCATTCTTACCGTTATCAGTAACGTCGTACACAACAATGATACCATGAGCACCTCTATAATACGACGACGTGATGGTGCGGAATCGTTCCTGGCCTTCTCACATCAGCCCCACCATTACACAGAAGCTAGCGCACGGACGTACCTGCAGTATCCCACTGTGACGCGTATACGAATGGTATGTAAGCAACAAGTCAACGTAAAAATGAATCAGGCGACTTCGCGAAGCAATGCATGTTGACCGCACTGGCGCACTCCAGTGCACGTAGTGGTAGCGTCTGGCTGCAGTACTCCAAAGGGAAGTCGTGAAAGACACCCAACTCACAATTTGCAACTTGACAGTCTTGCCTTCGAGTTCAATAGTGCGGATCTTAAAGTCAACACCAATAGTACTGATATAACTCTCAGTGTACGTGTCGTCTGCGAAACGGAGGAGAAGACAAGACTGTTGAATGACACGACGTCAGTGGATACTTGAAACTGGTGGCCGCAGTAGCGACGTACCTTTCCGACACCAGAGTCACCGATGAGGAGAAGCTTGAAAAGGTAGTCGTATTCGCTGGTGTGCATGGTGAGCTCGAGTATGAGATGGACGGTGGCAACTAAGGGAGACGAGGCAAGAAAAGACTTGGGACAAGGTGAATTGGCGGTTGGTGCTGTGTGACGCGTGGTGCGTGAGGCGTGACTCTGACAACACACCGCCCGAGCACCGCCACTCTCATTGTGCCCCTTCTCTGCCTCACAACAATAAATGGAGATTTAGCAGGCTTGTCTGCCTCTCATCGACATCTCCCGAATTATTGCACATTTATCTGGGCAACGAGAAAAATACCACTGGTTCTGGACATCCCCTTTTTGGCGCGTTCAGTATGTTTTGTCAGCGTGTTTCAAGTTATTAAACCTTGAAAGCCCCTACGCGTAAACGCCTAGAGCATTACCGTAAATAATGCCAGGGTAGCATGGCTGTAGTCCTTGATCATGATCAGAATTTCCTCATTGTGGACTACCCATTTAGTGAAGATGCGTATTTCATCAGTTCTTCTAGTAACGTCACACGACGCTGGCGTAGTCCATACTTATCGTGATGCGGCCGACAGTATTAAATCATGACCGATTACATTGACATAATGTTGGGCGTGGCTTACGGTCATAATGGATTCCCACTGGGACTAGTTCAGGTCAAATTCCAATCCAGACCGACCAAATAAGATTCCAGGGGACTTAGAATCGTCAGTGATGGAGAAACTTCTTAGGCCTCTTCCAATCTAAATCATCGCGTTTACTCATCATCAACTGTTCTCTCGATATAGCGACCATTATGAAGAGGTTAGACCGTCGAAGTGGCCCTTCCCAAAGGATGCAGCTCCGCTTACAACGTGGGCTCCATCAAGATCCATCTGTCTTGCTTAGTGATGTTTCGGTGGCCAGTAGCCAAGAGTAGTGGGTCTCGTGTTCTCCCACCTGCGTAATTTAACTGATGGCACCTTAGTGCGTATTTGATTCGTACCGAGTACGTGTGCTGGTATTATCCTACTAGTCCCCTCTCATACCGCCGATTATAGCATTGGGGGACAAGAATTTTGGATCACATTTGATACCGGCTCCTCAGACCTCGTGAGCCTGCCGTTATCTTTGTACTACACTTAGAAAGCCAAATTTTATCCCACAGTGGGTAGTTTCATCAGATTGTACAAATCCAGATTGTCAGGCCATCACGAGATATTCCTCCTCGTCATCTAGCACCCTGACATTATCAAATCAGTCTTTCGAACTGACATATCTGGTGGGTTCAGTGCTGGGAACAGTAGGCACAGAGACCGTAACACTCGGCCCGTATGAAATATCCTCCCAAACGTTTGGTGCGGTCCCCGTTTCATGTTTGTTGAAATGCTCACGATCACCACGCAGCCTTGGCTAACCAGACGAGCGGGCTTGCTCTTTCTTACACAGGAAACTCGGGAATTTTAGGCCTGTCCTTTCCACTCGTCGCTTCCATCCCCCTAACGTCTGGGACACCCATCCTGGACAATCTGTTCTCTCACTTTGACGACCAACACCGGTTTTTCGCGTTCAAATTAGGACGAAACGAGTCACAGGATATTTCGTATTCAGATTCATCGCTCACCATTGGAGAACTGGACTCCTCCTTGACAAATGATACGAGTCAGTTCGCGTTCACTCCGGTCTTCGCATCGACACCAGACGAGTATGACTTCTGGAAGCTTCCGATTCAACAGATTACTATCAACGATCAGGTCCTTTCTCTGTCGCGTTCGCTGGTCCGCGGTGCACCGTCTCCGATCGCTGTGCTTGATACCGGGACGACTCTCATTTTAGGTCCGACTGCGGACGTTAATGCGTTCTGGTATGCTATAGGAACGGGTGGGTCCACGAGGTACGACCAGCAGACAGAAACATGGCAAGTGAGGTGCGAGAGGGCTGTGGATGTGCGCATCAAACTTGGCAATTCCGATACTGCAAAGGAATATCCACTCCATCCCGAGGATGTCAACTGGGCTGAAGTTGAAACGCAAGACGGCTGGTGTACCGGCGGAATACAGGCGAACAACGGAGTGAGAGTGCTCTCAGACCGAATCTTGGTTGTGTTCTGACTTCAACCGACAGGTCGACTCTGGTGATTGGCTCCTCGGCGCTGTGTTCTTGAGGGTACGTTCAGGATTTTTCCTTCGATCGTACCTCCCTAATGCTCTTGTAGAACGTCTACGTCATACACCAGGGCAGGACGACTTCCAATCCACCGATGATTGGGTTGTTGAATACGACAGACCCGTCCGCTGCTCTCGCAGAGTTCACATCATCCAGAGGACAAGACCCAGCTCCCCCGCCTTCCCTACTACGCGCCGGTTCTTCAGCTACAGAATTGAGGGATACTCTCGCGACTTGTGTGGTATGCGGCGTGTGCGGATTTTTGATCGGAGCCATTGGAATTATGATCTACCGTCACCGACAGCGAAGGAGATCGCAAGGACAAGTCCATATATGATACAACTTGAGTAGATATCGTATCCAGCGCTACAGTGTCCAGCGTCCAAATAATAGTACAAAGACGCCTAGTATCGTACCTATCATCCTACAGGGTAACTCTCGCAAAAATAGTTAATGAGCCCTGACACGCTCGACATCCGGGTCACTTCTGAGGTTGGGTATACCCAGGCTCGTATGCAACGCTCTGAGACGGCCCATACTGGCCCTGCAACTGCGGATGCTGATACCCCGGTTGAGCCACCTGAGGCTCCCACCTGCCATCAAATAACCATCAACGACCCTCGCACATCAAAAAAAGAAACCTCCTCACCCAGGCTGCACATTCACCTGCAGCTGACATATCCCGCACATCCAAACATGCTTCGAGTTTAGAGGAATGAGCGGGACGAAACAGAGCTCGAACCAGGTTCTGGACTTGGCGGAGAACATCGCAGCTTAGACAGATGGGCTTTCGTTAGATCATTTTGGGGATGACCATGTCATGCGACGCACCGTTATGGCACCGAGGACATATTCTGGCTCCTTGGTTTCCTTCCGGCTTGATTTTTGTGGGGCAGCCGACTGTAAAGGGTGTTATAGATATCGAGTAGGCGAGAAATCCCACGAACATATGATTGGTAGACAAACTGTAGGGAAAGTATCAGAAACTGGTCGGTAGAATGTATATGTCTTGTCTTACAAAAGCAATCCATGCTGGTGTCGGCAGGGACGAACGATGGTGATGGGTAGCTTGGAGAGAGTTGTTGCGCAGTCGGTGGTCACAGGGGTCCAAATGGGGCTTATAACGCATGCAAATTGAAATTACAAGCGGTGGCGAGGCTCATATACATACATACAGAACGGTGAAGGTTGTATATACATGAAACATCGTATTTCAAAAGGTTATCATACATTTCCAACGTCCGCAACGAATGCAGAGGTTATTTATCGCATTGCATCACAGTCCTCACCAGTTAAGGTGCACTCAGCGAAATCTGGGGTGTCCAAGTCAGATAAGTGCGCCACAATATCGACCCGCTCACCTTCAAGAAATCTTCATAGTTGAGTTGAATCCAGCCGTCATTGTCACGGTCCTCCCTGGATAGTCGTCAATAACCGCGTGGCGTAGATGGATTTTTCCACATCATACCTTTGGAATGTTTCGGACAAAGTCTTGACGGTCACACACGCTCTCACGAAGCGGTCGAAAGTAATACCAGGAGGGGGGCCATACGCACTAGGCGCGCCAGATGCTATCGGACAATTTAGATTTTTAGTTGCAAAAGAGAGTTTCCATACCATATCGAATTTCTAGCGCTCGCAACAAAGGAGGAGATAGGTTGTAGCCAAAGTTGCGGAGGGCTTCCGCAAGTTCACGTCCGTCGATAGAACCAGAATGGTCCCTGTCAAAGTGCTTGAAGACTCGTTGCCATTCGGCGATATATTTCCATAATCCAGCAAATTCTGGGCCAGATCGGCGTCAGTGATGGTTGAGAATTTCATATATGGAGTACCATTGAAGCCGATGGTTCCGCTTCGATCAGTATCCTGCAGGAAGTTATATATGTTATTTCTTGCAGGGTGAGGTCATACGTACAAAGATGTTCATGAGCATCTTGACCGTATCGAGATCAAACTCTAAGCATGGTTTCAGCAATCAGTTAGAACGGGGTAAATGGAGAAAGAGGCTAGTCTGGGCATGAGCAGGATCGCTCAATGTCCTACCAGAGTTCGCGGTACAGTATTGCCAATCGCATAAAATCAAGATATCAACGAGGGGTGTACTCACTTGTCCAATTTCCTGGAAATACCAGTTGTAGCACGACTATCACCCGCAAGATCGCAGTGCCACTTACCGTTCACCAGGGCATCTTGAAGTTCCGTGACGCTGAGCGCGCCCGATCGATCAGTATCGACAGCGCAGAACCACTGCCAGAGCTGGGGATCAGCGCCAGCTGGAAGACCCTGTTGCTGAATGTACTGCCTGGGTTGGGAACTGGGGTATCGACCGAGGTTAGACGCGTAGGCATTGGGAGGGTTTGATCCATAGGCACCAGGAGGGTTTGATGTATAGTTATTGGGAGGGTTCGATGTGTAGGCACTTGGGGGGTTAGGGGTATAGTAAGACATGTGGGGCTAGATCTGTTGTGGATGTGGGTCAAGGAAAGAGTACGATGCCATACAGCATCGTGACTGGCGTCACTGAGTGGCAGGTGGCTGTGCCAAGTGGCGGTCATGACTTATGATTTTGATTTCGTTCAACACAGCTGTTGAAGATGCTCTTACATTGTATGCGCGGTCATCAAGTCACCCAGTCCAGACCAGATGATATACGAATAAATTGATATTGGACGGCTCAAATGAGTGATATTTACCGCGGAGGTCCGAGACTTCTGACATGTGACGAAGAACAGCCCAAACGGGTTGGTGCCGCAACGGTGATGTCCAAGGTTCCAGGGACGAGCGTCCAGGCAAGTAGAGTATACGATTCTCCCGTGAAGGTTCTAGCTTGGCAGTGAAGGTTATGCGTCCCCAAATGCCAAGTTGGTCTAGGTCGTGTCATTCATCAGGGACATTGATGGTCAGGCTAACCAGTATCGTACGCAGGAAAAGTTGCGGGATTTGCAAAAGTGGCGCACATGGTGCCGCCAAGTGACTTACGTTTGTTCGTACTCACATATTTGCAGAAATCTTTAAAGCGAGACAACCGGAATGATGATGTTGACAGCGGGGATCTTCGGACAGCAAGGAACAGTCCGGTGCAGAGAGTGAAGCCGCAACATGGCCAGCCAATGAGGATGCGAAGCTATGAGGAGTTTGCTTCGCTCCGGAAGACTTCTATTTGTTTTTATCGCAAAAAAGAGAACAATGAAAGCTGTGCGGCAGACGATTGTAGCCGCATCCCGGATCCGAGGTTGTGGTAGTTCAAGGGTATCGACGACTTACCACTTCAGCCTAGAATTTAGAACCCTGTAAGGATGGCCAAGCTTTGGTATCTGGAGTTCGGAGATAGGAGTCCGCATTTCGTAATGGCCTCACGTTATTCAAGTCCCCGTCTAGCGATATCATCATCATCATCATACTTGTTCCAAAGGCCTTGCTAGTATACATACGAGGATCATAATGGTTATTCCCAAGGATTATCCCCTTCGAGCTGTTAGCCGACCCTGGAATAGCGTGCATTCGTATTAGACACGAGGACAGGAGCTCATAATCAACGTGCGGCGGGATGACATCACTAGGACTCTGATATACTAGTCCTACATGGGGTACAAGAAGTTTGATACGTATCCGCAGTGTTCCTTTGTTGGAGGAATGGAAGTTTTTCTGCGGGATTAATGTGTCGTCTCACAGTTGCCGGCCGCCACTCCATGAACCACATGGCTAGATAAAACAGTAATTTAGAAACGTACCATCGGAGACTACTTGTAAGCGCCAAGCACTAATAGAAAAAAAAGTTTGATACTTGTAACACGATGCAGGTATACATAATGAGGAGGTCGACTTGAGGGCGTCGTCAATGCGCCCCTTCTTTGATCGGAGCCTACGACGATGTTGCTTCTAGCACAGATAGACAGGCGTCAGTGTCAAAAGTCATGATGGCATTTCAATTGAATTATATTCTAAAATGAGATGCATACACAAATGAAACTATGCTGTATATCCATCATATCTCCTCAGATCTTCTCATCACGTACTCATTAGAACCACCGATTTACATTCTCATGCATAATGATAATACATCTACTTGTCTATGATAATGAATGTTGAAAACGGGTATAAACAAAATTCTAATACATCCAGTGATAAAGCGGTAATATAATGGCTATGAAATGAACGTGAAGATGATGGATGCGCTCCACTCTCTGATGTAGAACTTAGAAATAATCAAAACTAGATAACATGTGACTCTCCAATAAAAACGTACACTAACGGCAATTACTTCTTTAGTGGTAGAATGTTTGGCAGTCTGCTCCAGTAAAGATCACGCTAGGGTCCAGATACCCGCTACCAGGCCCCACTGGATGTTGATATTGCGATGTCCATCCATGAGCGCCTCCAACAACTCCCGGGCCTGTCGCCCCGTCCACAGAAAATGAGAATGGATCAAGGTCCCCATTGTAGAATGAATCATTCTCCGTTTTCAGCGAGTGCTGTATAGGTGGCAGATGTTTTAATGATGACAGTGTGTGAGGCGATCCAGAATCCGGTGGCGAGACGCTGCGGTTGGTAGTGGCGTTGCTTGTCATTGAACTCGACGTCGTGGGTGGCGTATATGTGGACCAACTGCCACTACCATCGTCCGTGATAGCGGTGTTGGGTGAGCTCTCCACCGGAGAGAAGGCAACTGACAGTGGAGGAAGATGAGGACGAGACTGACCAGCGGCTGAGACAAGTGAGAGCGAACGAGGCGTCGCTCCCTGACCCCGAGCGGACGGCGGCAACGACGGTTTGTTAATCATATATGGGGAATGATCCTGCGAACGTTGTCCTGAGTGATAAGCCTGAGCACGTTGATCCTCAAGATAATCACGCTGACGGTTGCGTTCACGACGGCGCTCATCATCACGGATGACCCGTGCCTCCCAAACCATGCGAACTGTCTTCTCCCGCTCCTCGCTATTGGCGTAGATCCACCCAATCTCTCCTAGTGCGCGCAGACACACGTCAACACCGTCCTCGGCGTCGGCGTCCCAAGCGAGTCCGTCATCGCCTTTCAGATCACCATCTGCATCATGGTCAACGTCGCCTTGCGCAAGTAGCAAGGCTGCATAGTAGCATCCGTCTCGGATGAGCCCGGCATCATGAGCGAAGAATCCGCTCGAGGGAACAGCGAGGTGACGCTTCAAGATAGCGATGACGCGGGGAAGCACAAGGCGGCAACGGCGAGTAGCTTGGGCGAGCATGCGGCAAAGGGCACGATCAGCGGGAGGGGAACGACCGTTCGAGTCGGGGCTCCCCTTGGTTTGATTAACGATGCGCTGTCTCAAGGCTTCCCGGATGATGTTCAAGCACTCAAAGATGAACACTTGCCATCCGCTCACGAAACGCTCGACGTCCTCTCCACGAACAAGGCCACCACCCACGGTGCCGATGCCGCCTGCTCCACGACGGAGAGACTCAAAGTCCTCCCAGCATCGCTCGAGCCCATCCCAGATCTCCACGAGGGAGTCCTCGCGGATTGCAACACCAGCATCGGTGCGACGACGCGCACGAGGTCCAGTGAGCACCGCATGGACGGCACGACATACACCAGACACGGCGAGGGCGAGCGAAAAATAATGGGACGAGAGCAGGTAAGAGAGCGAAGCGCGCGAGTGACCACGAGGATCCTGCAACGAATTGACAGGGATATCGGACGATACTGGAGAAGTGGCGGTAGGAGAGGAGTGCGATGAAGCGGACGTAGAGGAAGGAGCGCTGCCAGATGCAGATGCACAGTATTGAGGAGGAAGTGTGCTTTGGAATGCAACAAGGTCGTCCTCGTCACTGGAAACAATCAGAGAATGTCACTCGGGGATGGCATGTACGTACAGATATAGCCGACCGCCGCGCAAGGCAGTGCGAACACCTTCGTGTACGTAAGCGTACCAGAAAACTCTGGCACGGACAAGTGCGTCACAATACGATCCTTGGCCACTTTGTAGCACAGAATGATTGCTCGAGCTGCAGAGCGTGTAAACTTGGGCAAGCGTTGCCTCATACATAGCCTAAACAAGGACGATCAGTCAATGTCATGAATCAAGCGCTGGCACTTACCCCTCTGTCCATGGAACTTTGTATACCTGGCGACGAGTGCGTCAGCTGAGGGTGCCCTGGAATTATTAATGGACACAAACCCTGAGTTAATGGAAGGATGAGCAAAAGAACCCTGACGCCGTCCCAAGTCGGGCGTCGCAGCACGGCATGAATATCGATGAGGTGTAAGATCTCCCTGATCATGGACTCTGTACGAAGAGTGCGAACGCGACGGTTGGAGTCAGAGTAATCATCATCGCCATCTGGAGAGAACTTGGGTCCGTCGGGTATAGTGGGGGAATGGGGCTCTGCTTCTTCTTCCACACCGTATTCATCGACGCCAAATGAGGCAGCCCAAGTGACAAGTAGCATCGCAATCATCTGGCCCTCGATACTGAGAGCGGAAGTGCCCTTAATATGAGCAAAGTATCTTGATGTGAATTCAGTGGGTTCGATTATAGGACCTAGATGAAGAAAAAATGGATGGGTGATAACTATATGACGGCAAATGAAATCTTACGTTGGATGCTAAACCTGCGGAAGAAAGATGAGCTAAGGAATTCTAGCTTGAGCAGGGGGATAGTGGTTTGTCTGGGTGCGGCGATCCCCGCGGAAAGCGTGGTTGGGATCGTGGGGTTTGATGGTGTGGACATGGCAGAAGACGAGTTAGATTCGTCATCCGTAACTTTGCCGTAGACAGCCCTAATTGAAATTAATTGAAATGGGACTAGTAGTGGGAGGACGACTGACTCTACTTGTTGTAGACGGCGGCCGCGTCTTAAAAGTTTCACAGCTTTGACTTCAGCAAATTCATCGCTAAAATAGACATGATTCAATTGTCTAAAGTGACATGCTAAATGTTACGTACACGCATTTGATCCCACGTTCTTTGCAGTTTGAGCATGAGGGATGCTGGACACCACTTGTAGTTTGTGTCATTGGGAGGTCTTTGAGGTCACATCGAACTCTATACGACAATTGAGATGAGTGTATGAGAAGAATGATGGGAGGCATACCTTCGCATGCGGCAAGCACCACAAGCGGAGAACTGTTGCCTAGAAGACTTTGGTTGACCAGCGGCTCGTCGTGGATATGGAGCGCTAGCGGCTGAAGCGGTTCTCGGTGCAGAGGAAGATGCTCTAGGGGACATTATGGTAGAAGAATGGGGAGTTGAATGTGCGGACAAGAAGGAGATGAAGAGTTTAAGTAAAGGATAACAATGGTGGTGAGATTTATAATAAGGTCGGAGAAGGGCCGATATTCGATGATGTGAGGGTAAGGGAAGATTAAATATGGTTTGTTTGACGTCGATATGCGGAAGTTCGATTGGCAGTTCAGACGGCTCGAACAGAACGCGGATAAAAATGGAAAAAGTGAAAGACACGAGAAAAGCGGATGTCGTAAGTCGAAGTCGATCTTTCGGGAACACCAGATTTGGGGCGTTTACCTTCGCTTGAACTTGATATTGATGCTGTACCTTCGGCGACCTTGTGAGCGCAAAAGACTCTCGTCATTTAGTGGCGTTGATCTGGATCATCACAATAAATCCAAGAACGCTATCAACTCGACTAACCCATTTCAATCCACGAGGTCTCCGTCGTAATCAACGTTTGTTAGATAAATGTACCTCATAGGCTGTGCGTATACCAATACATTCAGGACCACGCCAGTCTAAACGATTTTCTTGACTCCTTGCGGTTATACAGGCACTCAGTAAAGTCTCTTTTCCGCCAATCGGAGAGAAATCCATCATACCTGCCGTGAGTGTCACAACGCCGCCCACTCATTAACAGAGCAACCCTGACAGGTGTCGTATACCTTTTTCAACTTTGTTTGCACCTGACTTGCGTGCGCTGATAGGCCCGGTCTTGGCCACTTTGCCGTCTTAGAAGGTCGAAAGCTACAAACAACTTGTCACAACAACTTATTCAATTTCGAATTCCGACCTGCCGGATTTATTTAATTAGCTCAGATCTCAGATTATTGATCCCTTCGTAAGCTTTACGATGCCGCATGCGCGCTATATGTTTTTTCTATGATGGAAAATGTCACAAATCGTTACACATTCATGACTCAGGCCAGGGTCCTATTACTCTTCAACATCGCGCTCATAACTGGTATAACCTCGCACTCGCAAACTTGTTAATTCAACATGCGATTATAATATGGCAGTTTCCAAAATATACCCATGCCTAAACATTCAAGGCGTCACCCGCGTCGCCACATATTACTACAAGCAATGGCCGCTTCATGTCACCTGCTCACCGGAGATATCTTGACTCAAAGACTTAGTGATTTGCGTTGTGATATCACCCCTGACCCTGTTTAACGAGATTCATTCACGCGTGCTCCATGCTAGTCTTATACGTATAATCAGAACTTTCCTCCGATGTGCGTACACAGCCTTGCGTATTTTCGAAGCTCCGGCGTGACATATCATGACATATGTGACAGTCACACATGGTCAGTTCTTAATATCGGTGTCGGTTGACCCCACTTAACCGGGCGCTCGTCAACAATACTGAGCCGCCCTCCAGGTGCAGTGCTGGAGAAGTAATACCCACAGGTTTTTACAGACATGTATTGCATTTTGAACATGTCAATCTGCGATGATGCGCGCACATCCATCTATCAGAATGACTCCACCCCGCCCGCTTTACCGACCGCCCTTTTTAGTTCACCCACTGTCTTTTGTTCAGGATTTAGACGGCGATCAATCGCCATCCTCTCGTAGTTATCGCCATATTTTTGGATCAAGCGCGCCAGGTATGATCTTTCTCCACATGACGAGTGTCGCACAACCACCCTCCCCGAAGTCGACAGTTGCTCCAACACTATTGTTTCAAACAAAATTAACTAGTCAGTAATCGAAAAACACCGAATGTCATATGAGCCATAAAGAAGCGCTAGTGCCGTAGGCACCACACGAATAGATTCCAAGAACTCATCAACTATAGTAGGTACGTCGACGGTCTCTCTAATGGAGAACATGTTTGCGCCAGAAGGCATTGAACTTCAAACCGCGAGAACATTTATTTTGATAGCGGCACTCACCGTCAATAGGATGTGTTCCCTGCGCACACGATGAAGATAATTCTCGTGCATTTATGGTGCGATCTGGATGGTGTATTCTATTGAGACAACCGACCCAATCACCCATAGCTTTCTCATCTACATCTGCTTCTGCGAGCTCCGTCTTTTGTACAGTATTTTGAATTTCCTCGGATTCAGGTAGATCGATTCGTATCACATTACCAGATTCGTCTCGGATAATTCTTCCAAACCCCTTGGGTATAGTCGAAGGGCCAGACTCAACTGACTTGAGGGTAGCAGAGACTGACTCGACATCAGCTGAAGCTTTTGGAGGGATCAATGTCCGTTCGACTCCGCCTGATTGCGTGGGGGTCAAAGCAAATTGAAGTCCCAATGCAGCATAGCTGTAGAAAAAGATTTGTTCAGAGATTTAAACGACCGGTCAAGGACACAATTCATTGAATTAATTGCGAGCCGCGGAGCTGATGACAAGTCTCGCGGGGGTTGGCAGGAATCAAGACGTATTCCATTGGGACAGTTGTCCACGTGTTATGACCTGTCTCAGATATCTTACCACTAGAGCGGATAATCGACCAAGTCTGATGATTGGCAACAAAGTCCGCATCGCCGTAAGATTTTGATAAATTCAAAAACACCAGTCCCACCGGAACTCCAAGAGCGAAACAAATTGGAAATTATTGCGGAAGTAAACTCACTTTTGGTGAACCGTCTTTGATTTATCCCAAGCGTCCTGCAAGGCTTTTGGACCTCGTATCACTAAAAGGGAACTTCGTCAGCTAGGCACTTAGTCAATCACAATTATAATCTTCCACAAGCATAACGACAGCACGAGGCGAATCAGATACACCAAACAAGAATCCGCGAGTATCCGATAAATGAGCACATGAACGTTCATGTATCATGGATATAATTTAATATCATCGGAAACTCACCTGGCATCTTCTTCAGGAGTCTCTGTGCACGCCGTGAGTGGGATACGGTTTTATGCGTTGATGATTTGGCTTTACGACGTTGCCGTGGATTAGCCATATTCGGTCTTGCGAGTTGGTAACGATCAGATACACGGATGAACGCTTTGAACTGGCAGAGATGGAAGCTTCACTAGTATCTCGAAAAAGTTGTACAAGCAGTCAAGCAAGCAAGAGATATTTTCAAACTCCGATCGGCATAAGCAACAGTAATAATACCACGGATAGGTAGCCCTAGATGCTGATGCTGATACTCTTCGTTCTGACAAGTTATGGCATTGTGACATTTACTGACATATGGACACTTGATGAGAATGTTTCGCGGCACGACTATTAACTCAATTCTTCTCAGACTTCAAGCGTTCAGGATTGTGTCGAATTTGCCGCCGGGATGATATATGAACCGGTAACTTGTATGTTTAGATGCCGTACCTTCCCAGTTGATTCTTCTTCTTCATCGTGTCTCCTGCAGCAGCTTGTTCGGTTTGACAAAGCTTCGTGTGCTGCGGCAGCGATCATAGTCGGTTACCCATTCTGCCAATCTGAAGGAGCCGCCGGGTTCGCTTAACCGATGTCTTCTCCCCATCTGAAGGCCATTATTTTTGATGTACGTCCCGTTGGTACCGACGCGAACAACGCATGCGGTGCCGTCTGTCGCTCGTCATGGCTGCGGCTGATCATTGATCATCCTCGGGTAACTGTTCCCAGATTGGCGGCGTCGTTCTTCATAGCCCGTTCATTGCGATCGATGAGATCGAGTCGGAGAAGGGTCTACCCAAGAATTACCTGAATGTCTCGATGTCCGTCTGTCTACGCTATGTTCATCTGCGTATTGTGTTTCTCATGTTTATTCCGTGGGTAGAGCCTCTCGGGGGCCGGGTGGGGCCTGGGAGAGATTCGAACGTGGAGAGCTATCGCTCTTCCCATTCTACGACGAGTTTGGACGTGACTTGTCCGACACAGAAAATGGTAACAAATGGTATACGGAATACTGTGCTCGCAAACAAATAGGTATGGCATCATGATGGTACGTTTCTTAAGCAACTATTTTAATCTCTGTCGAGTCAGATCTCCCGGCTTTACCTGTGATGCTTGATATTGACGGCCGCGAGGTCAGTGTTGGAAACACCTGATGCAGTCGCTGCTCTGATTATTAACTCCGCCAACGCCACAAGGTTTTTGGTAGGATGATGCGACAGTCTACGGCCTATGATTGTCACATCCTGCGGGCCATTCACCGGATAAGAGGTGACTCTATCGCATCACGGTACACTCCGAACATACTCAGTGCCTTATCTTAGCGTCTCGAAGATGGCTTATCATCGCTCTTACTAATAATTACTCGAAGCACATCACAGGCTCTTCTTCTTCGATACCCCTGACTGCAGCACAACCTCCTATAGGAGTTTCCGACTCGGAGTTGCGATTCTTAGGGTGGGAGGATGAGGCAAAGCTTCATCTCCGTGCGTTATTCGACGACTTCTGTGACTCCAGCGAGTTAGGTATGCGGTACGTTAGGAAAATTTCAACCAAGATCTTCACAAGGTTCAGCGATAGTGATGTTGCTTATACTACTTTCAACCCATCAACAGGAAACCTGATCCCGAATTTTATCTTCTTGCCTGTCAGCGAAATGACATTCGTCCCGGAGAAGCCGTCTTTCTTGATGATATAGGAATGTGAGGACTGCGCCTACCACGTTGCTGGTGAAATTTTTGACCATCAACAGGAACTTGAAGGCCGCTCGCGTTCTTGGCTTGGAGACCATCCGTAAGTCGCGTATTCTAAGTACATCTGATCTGTAGATGCGTCCGCGGCTGCATTATCTTTGGCAGCTTAGACACCATGCGGCGCCGATGGCAAATCCTGGCAAACTGTCCTGACGAGTCTTCTTTTAGATGTTCCGATAGGTGGCACTCTCAATGCAGTCAAACAGTTGGAAGGGAAATTAGGCATCGACCTTACTAGTGACCTTGACCATGACAACACAACATCTGCTAAGCTTTGAAAGCCATGGTTACAGTTTGGTGGTATCGCAATCTGTATAGACACCTCCGCGGGGGATTTAGATAATCGAAGATGTATATTCTGGATGGCCGCATTCTACATTAAACGAAATACTGGTATCCCAAAGGGCGGTATGTGTCTATAATTGCGGACTGTTTAGAACGGCTTGTCCGAAGCAGGTGTTTTGTCCTCGTAGTGATTCCCAAGCTAAAGTCGAATCCGTCACGCGCGAGATCAGCAGAATGAATGTACACGAGGACCTAAGACCTCACCAGCGGAACATTTACGAGAAGACCCTTTTTCACAACCGGGGTAACAGACAGCAACTATTTAGTGAATCAGAAAAAAGGGTAAGAGAGGAACTAGCACTATCTGGACGCACAAAGAGAGCAGCGGCGCCGGCACCTACGCCCCATATGCCTAGCGTTGGACCCCATTGTTTGGCCAGCTGAATCACATCAAAAGCGGACTTCAATAACCGAACCTTGACTAGAAAAGATAATACACACCGTGCTGGCAAAACGAGTTGGCGAGGTCGGTTGGAACGATACACGGGCCATGGCTTGATAGATACTGAGAATGGCGAGGGTTTGAACGTTGAACTCTAAAGGTCGGGTGAGAGCGGAGAAACAAGCAAACGCCGCAGTGCACGTGACCTGACTCGACACGTTATAATAATACAGGCCGTCTCCCCTAACCTATTACTGGTATACATAATACCGCGGAGGATTCAATCTGTGATGCCCGTACGTAGCTGCAGCACACAGTAACGGTGATGGTGATCATGGATTCAAACATCCAGAAGACGGATCTGTCTCTATCAATAACTTCGTCGATGTCGGGCAGTTATTTACATCCGGCGGGTGTTCGAGATCTTGCACGATTGTCGCAGGCAAAACGTATCCAATGTGTACACAACAAATCCACAGTCAACCATCGATACCATCACACCGTCATGATCGTGAAATAGATATCCAAGAACACAACTAGCCAACCGCCCGGAGGGACTCGTTCAAATTGGGAAGCTGAATGCATGAGATAATTTTACCCAACTTACGATACAACCGCATCAAGTGAGGAACGTTCAATCTAGATGTCTTTTCTACTACTCAGGAAAGATGATGGCCTTGGCTAAACTCCCAAGATATGATATGATTGCGATCCCAGGATATCCGACTCTCCGACCCCATCTAGCATTTGCGCCTGGTGGCTTAGCGCGTGTCTGGTACAGCCTCAGGTTATTCAATTGGACTAGCGCAGAAGCATGATTATGGAAAGGCCCATTACATTCAGATAACAGAGAATTTAGTCAACAGAACGCTCTGAGAGCTTAATATAAGCGCCACAAACCCGGGGCTTTATGGCGGCTTTTGGAAGTAGTAGAATGTTCATAGGACTTGCACCCTGAAACGAGGACACAATGTCGCGTCGTGTTCTTCATACTGAGTACTCTGCTTCAGACAGATTTGGAAAGTGATTGTTTGTTGTGCAATGTGAGGTTTCAGAAGTTTTGTTGGCTCAAGTCCCTGTCTAAGACTGTGTAAGGATAAGCGCTAATCAGGGTGTGTTAATATGGCGGTGAGCCGGAGATGACGTCCCTGATAAAGATTGAATACTCCGTGTCAGACCCCCTTCCAGGAAAGCCAGTCGAATTGAGACATGGTAACGTGAACTAATTCAATCGAATTTGAGTGCGCCAGTTCAATTGTCAGAGCTAAGGATGGTCAAGACCTTACCTCGTAAACTCACCTGTGACTCGATCATGCCGTATGCTTCTTTACGTCCTGATCGACCGGTGGTCAATGGAATCCACAACTGTGGGATGAAAAACCGCGTGCTCCATTTCTGCCACCCAAACAACAAAGTCACTAAAGGTGTTCACACGTGCGTTGTGATGGCTGTGCTACAACACTCTGTGAATGGCCTCAAGGGTTCGTCTTCAAGCTCCCATGCGAATGTCGAGTTATATTTATGTATGATCCTGCGGGGATACCGTAGGAACAATATTATGATGTGGAAGCTTACCCGCGAGTTCTATTGCAATTCTATCACCAGGAAAGAGTCTGGACGTTCTTTGATGAGGTTACTGGAGCCTATGGCCGGCGAGTTCTCGTGCAATCTTGATATTACCAGAACACTATGGAATCCATCATCATTACCACATGCTTGGACTGATGGTCACTCCAAGTTCACCGCTCGAAGCCTCGGAGGTTTGAGAGAACTGGCTTCACGCTCAGCATAAACTAGTGATACATTTGACCTGTTGTTCCCGAAACGCCGGCGTTGTAAAATTTTCAACCCTTTCCCATACAATGATGCAACGAGAGTGACGTACCAGAACTTATTTGTGGATAAACTTCAGCGCACCCTTGGTACTATTCACGTTACCGTTCATTGCACCCCAAACCAGAAATGGTTGGCCCTCGGCCCTCAGCCTTCATGTCCATGACCTGCCAGAACGAGCACCCTTTTCCTTCGTTCTGTGCACCAGCGTGGCATGTCCACCAGTATTTGTCCGTCTGACCGTCATGTCTATTTTTCATATCTGGACGCAAAATTGTTGGTACACCGCAATTGCAACGCGGGATGCTTTGCGGCCTGAAGTCTGGTCGATAGAACCGGAAGGTTATATTGATACGACAATTGGACGGTTCTGATGGATGTTCCAGGCGAGAATGGTGAGGGAAGAGAGGCCGATAGAGGTCAAGTGTAGATTGAGGAGGAATTGAATGCTTGAACCTTTCCTGGGTGCTGGCATGCATAATGATCAACTGGATGCACGTCTGAGTATAGTTCTACATGGGTCACTAGCGCGAAGACCTACAGAATTATGAGGTAAAGGAATGTTAAATGTTTGTGCCCTCCGTGAGTGCATCTCTTCACTTGGCACGACCTCCCGGAGGCGAAAGTTTCTTGTCGTCCCTGCGAATGACACGGTATGACTACACAGGACAGCGAGTTTAAAGGTGCTCACCGAGACTCAGCGAGGCAATAGTTGGGTAGGGTCCTAGATATGTTAAGTGGTCTGAGTGAAATCCAACACCTGTCCTTTGCGCCTTCGTAACAATTTGATGCTGCTACATTGGCACGCCAGATTTGACCTTCTGAGCCCCTACCTGCCCATTCAAGGGGGAGTCGAGGTCGCATCTGCATCTCTTTGTTGACCATATTTTCTACATACAAGCAGGCTTCTTCCATCATGTCAGGAAAGACATTAGGTGAGTCTGTTTGTCGACCATTATACCTTTGGTGCGTCGGGTTAAATATCCATCTCTAGAAGACACAATACTCTTTTATCTCACCAATATTGTGCGGCCTCCTGCCACGAGTTATCAGACTCCACACCATCTGTCCTTCGAGCATAGAACGATGTGCGGTGAGGGCTCTCAACGACACGATCAAATAGCCACCATTTGTTCCTTTTCCAAGATTCCGACAGATCGAGCATGGTGTAGAATAATTTACATGCAAGCTCTGGTGGCAATATGGATAGATGCATCGTGCAAGGTGTGTGCTTGGCCACCATCGGGGGGTTCGTCAACGTCAGGGGAAGGAGGCGCGGTACAGATCGCGTACTCGATGGTGGTTGGCGTAGAACCGACATCAAGTCTACTTGGGGTTTGGTCGGAGGGCTGCTGCATACAGTGGTATCCTTGATGATCGCTTTGACAGGAGAGAGACTGGATTCCTTGACGTCTCGTTTCTTTCGAGGAGGACTGTCAAAGACAGTGTTTTCGACTTTTGAGTTGCCTGCATTTAACCAGCCTTGAAGACCCACAGAACGATCCTTTCTTTTTGAAACGCTGCTCACTGGCTTAGACCTTGTCTCATCGCCAGAATTAAGTAGTTTGGCAGTGGCATGAACATCTCCATCGCACGACAAGAGCGTGTCGAGAAGGATATCCAGTTCTGGAAATGGGACGGTCAGTAGGCTGCGGACCAATGCTAGCAAAGTTTCCGTGTCCTCCATGATGTCAAAGGAGGGATTCGTTAATTGTGTTAAGTTTCAAGTTGTGCACTGCCACCGCCCAGATGCAGTAGTCTCAGGTTACCACTTAGTTGGGAGCACCCATACTAGTAAGCGCCAATTCAAATTATGAAATCTGACAGTCATGGTTAGTCGCTATATTCTGTATTGCCTAGCAAACACTGAAAGATGAGCAAGTGGACAAGGAGATCGCTCAAACTTTTGTTACCTCCAAAGTAACACGGACTCGGAGCCTATCAAAGGTAAGCTGCTCACACTGCCACTGAGAGTGTTGCCATTCATCGGGACATAATCTATCAGTGGAGGCTTTTCTTCAGTCTTGCTATTTGTGCAACCATCTTCTACTTGCAGTTTCTCACTAATGACGGCCCCGAATCCTTATCAGTCGACTACGACCGCTGGACAGGCCTAGCAAGCCACTGCTCCGGTGCGCAGCCCATAAATGGTTCAGAAATTCTCCAACGCCAGGAAAACTTGGCAAAGATATTGTATGACAATGGCGCATCAGCATACATCGCAGAGCCTGGTGCAAACGCGCAGTACTTTGGTAACATTTCCGAGGCGACGTGGCACCTTTCAGAAAGACCACTGTTACTTATAATCTCTCCCATACTCGAGGAGGCCAGCATTGTAGCCAAAGTCACTGTTATCACACCAGCATTTGAGGAAACGCGCGCCAGACTTTTACCAGTACCCGGAATTGATGTTTCATTTGTTTCCTGGGCAGAAGACGAAGACCCATACACTGTCGCGCTTTCCACCCTTGAACTTGAACCTGAAAGGCCCATCTACGTTGATGGTATGATGAGATACTTTATTGTCGACGGTCTCCAGAAGGCCGCTCCTGGCGTCCGCGTTATGTCGGCCCCACTCGAAGTCACCCAGCTCAGGGCGCGCAAATCTCAAGCAGAGCTGGACCTTCTAAGATGTGCGAACGAGGTCAGCGGATGTGTTTGCATTTGAACGTGGCTAGCTCATCGCAGTCAACAAGGTCACCGTTCTTTGTATCCGTGCTGTACAAGCCCAGATGTACATCGGGATACGGGAATCACAAGTTGGAGTGATGATAGATGAGGCACTCGCTGCTGCTGGTCTCGCCGAAAGATGGGCGTTGGTACTTTTTGGCGGTGAGACTTTTTTTTTCAAAATTTGACAATCGAATTATAGGTGCCTGTGAGTGCTGACTTGTTGATCTCATTTGCTGTAGAGAACGCTGCTCTCCCGCATGGAAGCGGGAGCGATCGCGCACTGGGCAAAGCGGACTTTATTCTCATAGATGCTGGTGGCACGTTGCTTGAATACCACAGCGACGTTACACGTGTAAGCATTCATGATTCTGTCGTGAAACCACTCAGTTGGCTGAGGTTCTGCATAGACATTCATGCTGCATGATAGCTCCATTCCACCGGAACATACTAGGATCTGGTATGATGTACATGCCGCCCAGACCTTGGCGCATACAGTAGCTCGGGAGGGGGCAACTACATCTGCCGTAGACAAGGTAGCGCGTGATTGGCTGGACGGACGTGGGTACAAGGGATACTTTACTCATAGACTGGGTCACGGTGAGCACTAAATTACAGCAGACTTATAGTTTTAGGACTGAGTGTTTGAAGGAATCGGGCTTGAAGATCACGAAGCTCCGTACCTCCGTGGAGGAACCGACGACATCATTCAAACAGGGAACGCCTTCTCGAACGAACCAGGCATATACATTGAAGGCAAGGTATGGTAATTACGTGTGGAGCCACGGAGACTCCTGTTTAATTGGATGAATGTTAACGGTTATGAACAGGTCGGCATTCGCCTTGAAGACTGCTTCTATATCGACAAAGGCGGAAATTCTGTATTTCTGACCAAAGGGATTGGGGGACAAGCATCCAGCCCGCTCCACCCTTGAACCTTTTCCTCTGATGGGGTTTACGGATATGAATTTCTGGAACCGAAGTTACGTATTGATTCAGATGCGCTATCGATCCATCCTACTATCTTAAATCCAGAGTTTATGATCTTAACTATTTCTGGACAATAGCGGGAAGGGGTCTGTATATAAAAATAAGCCCTTAGTCGGACATGAAGCTACTACGTCATTGTACAGATTAGAAGCGTTCCGTCATGCCATACTTTGCACTCAACAAATAATTTTCATAGGGACGCCACCAGGGTCACACTCACAAATTATGATCGAACTCGATGGGAGGATAATTAACATACGTAAGCGGTTGACTTTATCTGCTATCGCCCCGGAACTTCATAGGCGACCACCAGTACATGCTGGAAAATTCAACTATGACCAGCAGAAAGCTATGCGACATCCACTGCTGGCATGTCCGTTAGAACGGCATTCGACTTGAAACCAATCCAACCCCGCATTGGAGATAGCACCGGCCATCGGGGTGGGAACCGGACCAGGAGTATGGCTCCATAGCCCGCCATGATTCGTAACAGCACATGGCACTATGTGTTTGCGCAGGAAAGACCATCATAGTACGAGACTAATCGAACCCTGCTTTAGAGATCTACCGGCCATCAGCGATGGGAGCGGGCGCCGGACCAGGGGTGTGGCTCCATAGCCTGCCATGATGATTCGTAACAGCACAAGGCACGATGTGTTGGTGCACGAAAGACAGGCATAGTGTCGGTCTATACGCGGAGAAACCAGAACGCAAAGAGGAATATTGGCAAAAAAACGAAGGCAAGAAGCACACACCTGATTGTGCGAACAACTACAAAAATACTATCGACATGAGCGAGCCCTGGGCCTGAAGTCGACTCGACAGGTACGCCATTGTGATTGGAAACAGAACTGATGCTATGCAGAGATGACAACAATACGGTCGAATCAGGACTCGAATCGTTGACACTGATGACAGCAGGAATTTCAGCGAGGACATCCAGAATTTGAAGACGCCGATCACAGAGCATGACATCATGTATGATTTAGTATCTTACCGGACCGCCAATCATAGTAGACCCACAGTGAACATTTCGGCCCCTCGGCCAGTCGACATGCTCACAAAAAGCAGTCTGACAGTCTAGTACTTTTCGGCGTGGACCACAATTTGACACACGACGTCATGCAGGGTGTTTTGTGAGAAACATCGTGGATCATCTGCGGTAGATAGATCAACAATCATAGTTGCAAGTATGATATCAGACCTTGAAGAACAGTCATTAATCATTCCTTTTTGAGAACGCTCTTTCGCACCTTGATTCTAGTCTCGTGAACCAGCCGCCTTGTCTGAGAAGGGAATGTGTAACAAGGCGCTTCCCTTAGAAGCAGTAGAGTACACTTTAAAGCCCGCATCATGTAGCAAAGAACGGTACCGCGTTGTGCGTCCTAGCTCATGAACGCGTCACGTCCTCTCCATCCTGCAAAACATACCAGACACAAGGAACGAGGACACAAACATGGAGCGTCGCGTGATGCTCCGCACGCGAGAAGGTAGATCATAGTTTGGAATTCGTTAGAATGTTCACTACGACTTTGAGCAAGCATGCAGAGTATAGATGTGAATATCTGCATAAGATAAACGAGGCCTGTGCATGATATATCAAAGACTTAGACCTACCAGTCCATGATTACGGCGTGTCGAGGTGAGGCTCTCATCGAACTCTCCCTGCTTCAACAACTTGCATAGAGTTGGTGCTATGTCTTGGGCTCTCGCCTGTATTCTATCCAAAGACCACCTGCCTAAAATCTCAGAAACATCTTCTCCACGAGACGGTCGCAAGAATTCTGCTAATACTTTGCCCTCCCTCGCCGAGTCGCAACCATGTCAGCAACAAAGTTGATAGCCCATACACGTATCACATCAGGACAACGTTGGTGCATAAGCGCGAGATTTTTGCCTCCATGTGCTCCGAGCATTCTTGATAACACGAGCAGACTGTTGCTGGTCTGTTGTTGACAAGAGAAGCTTGAATAAAGGAGTGAAGAGTAGGAAAATGTGAATCTACAGCGAGCAAAACAGCTTGAAGGTGTCCTTTGGATAGCTCGCTTGCTTTGGCGTTGGCTTCGGATTGGAGTTCGTTTTTTGTGCTTCGTTTTGCTTCCGTTCTGCTAGAGGTCTGAGTTGCTCAACCTGCAGCTCCTGAGCAGATAGCTTCACCAAACACGCCGGGTTCTCTTCTGTGGGGGTGCAGATGTGTCGAGAATGTTGAAGACTAGATTTTCATTACGTGTTTGCTGCACTGATTGTGACAAATACAGACGGAGAGGCTTGAGGCGGCTGGCTCACGGGACTACCTTGATTGATAACTTATAAGCATCGGTGACTTCCACGCATGAAATGATAGACAACAAGACTTTTTTTTTCTAGCGAACTCTCTGATACAGAAATCAACGGGAATTCGAGTAGTATACAATGCGATTGTGCTGAGAGTTCCTTCCTAGAAGGACTGACGCACACCGGGTAACACATGAAAAGCAAGTGAAGACAAACTTGGAAATGATCCTTCGTGATGTATAAATAACATGGTAATGAACGTAGGCAAAGCGAAAGAACTAGAGGGGGCATCGATGTGGAATATAAGTATGTGGTGAAACAAGATAGAGTAGTAGTGCGATGGAAGAGTAGACCAACAAATCAAAAGTGGTATCTTTAATGTAATCGGAGAACTGGTCTAAAGCTGAGTACCAGCTCGCGAGATGAGAAACCTAGCTCACAGTATTGAAGGACATACCATATATAACGGAGTAACGACAGGACGACGAGACGAGGATTACTGCGATAGAGGGCAGGATTCAGTAAACCTTGACCAACTCATCAGGGGTTGGAACAGGAAGAGGGACAGTCGCAGGAGACATAGGCGTTGCCGTTGCCGAAGTGATCGGAGGGGATGATTGGGAAAAATTCGAGATGCCAGAAAGGGCGATGTCATAAGAAGGGTGGCGTAAAAATGGATTGCGCGCACGAGATATTGGAGATGCTGCTCGAAGAATACTAATGAGCGGATTTTAGGAGAACAATTATTAGCGCTCACAGAGAGTGTGGGCTACGTTCCACCTTTGGGTGTCGAGGTCTTGAATGTCAAGGTTCTCAAGCTCGTCTCGCTCATAAAGGGTTTGAGGAGATCGTGTGCGAGGGACCCATTCACTCTCTTCGGTGAGTGTGATGCTGGAGATGTCACCCTTGGTGTGAATAAAATCTACTCTGCTCCTAGACCTGTAAGGGAGGCCAAATGTGGGCAACGGCATGGTACCGTTACGACGTGATCGCAATACAGGAGATGATGGGCATTTCCAGCCCATGCAGATTGACAGGAACTCTTCAAGCGCTTCTGATGGAAGGCTGGACCTGTGATCAGGGAAATCGATGAAATTAGTAAAAGAAAAGGTATTAAATGGGATAAGGTGGCAAGCCAAGGCGAAGAGTTGGTGCTCAGCAGACAAATACAGTTAGGATTAAACGTAACATAGATACCTACCGAGGTGATGCACGCGGAGAGGAGAGATCCTTATCGGACGAAACCGAGTCGATACGGGCGGGCTGTTTGTACTCGTCGACGTTTTCAGCGTCTTCGGACAGCTTTACATGATCAACTTGAGAAGCGACAAGTTTGAAATGTGTAGAACGAGCAAGGTGGGTGGTGATGCGAACGGGACGGGGAGCGACGAGAAGAGGATTATCGTTGACATTAAAATTCATGGTTGATAAGAGACTGATGCGAGCAAGTTAAAAGCAAGTAAGAGTAGATATAAAGCAAAGCAGATGAATGTAGTGGATGACAAAGTTTCGTGACTGCAATAGAGGAAACAGTTGGGAAGAACGTCTATCACAACGAGCTCCCTGTTTGTACATGTTATTTATCTCGGCATCGACCGAGTGACCAGACTCAGTCTTCTACTTGCACAGTATTTCGAGCCACTACATATATCAGATGGCAATACACCATATGCCCATGTCCCCCCCTCCCTACAACCACATAGGTATATTGAGGACAGGTGACACTGCCAAAAATACAGTAATATGCCTTTAACATGATGTAAATCGGGATCATCGGGCCTGTGTCCATAATTATACTCACGACCCTATCAAGTATTACTCTTCACCCTCAATTTCCAGACATATGTCCAATGACAAAGCTTGTAAGCCGTTCCATATGAGGCTTTTATGCGGATTACATTTTTGAATCAGTCATCCTTAGGTCCCCTTCAAAGCCCTTGCTTGCCATCTGGAGAATTAACATCGGCGGCAATGAGCAGTACACGTAAATTATCGTGTTCTATCTGTTGATCCAGAGAAATGTGACCCAGTGGAATTCTCGTCAGCTATCAATGCCGCATAAATATACAATTTGAATTCCCTTGCCTTTGTCATTTTCAACCATGACACCCGCCAATAGTATTGCCAACGACACGACCAATTATGATGAGACTTCTCCACTTCTCCGAACCACTTCCAATGCTCACAATGCTGAAGCTCAGATTGCTGAGAAACCCAAGTCTACTCCTCTACCAAAGGGTCAACTCACTGCACTCTGCATCGTTCGTCTAGTCGAACCCATAACGTTCACTCAGCTCTTTCCATATGTCAACGAGTTCATGAGCGATCTTCATCTCACAGATGACCCATCAAAAATAGGCTTCTACAGCGGGTTGGTTGTACGTCGTCTGATTTGATCCCACGATCAGATCACTCTTCTCACTGATCGTAACCACTAGGAGAGCGCTTTTGCTGTATCTCAATTGTGTTCCATCTACCACTGGGCTAGGTTATCAGGTACTTTTATCGCGTCATTCAGTCTACTTTTCATCTCACCTTGCTGTAGATGTTATCGGACGACGTCCTGTCATATTTCTCGGTATAATTGGGCTTGCCATCACCACGCTGATGTTTGGTTTATCCAAATCACTGGCAAGTGTCTTAGTGGCGCGTTGCTTAGGTGGGGAACATTCCATACCTGCACCTAAACTAATTTCTAATTCTGTAGGCGGACTATTTTCGGGAAATATCGCTGTCATCCATTCGGTTCTAGGAGAAATCACCGATTCCACAAACCAGATGGTGGCTTTCCCCATATACGGCCTCGCCTGGCCTATTGGCTCAATCATCGGGTACGCTCTTCATTTACATCTAATCAGATGTCAACGTTGATCACGTGTACACCCATAGACCACTTATGGGTGGAGCGTTCTCTCACCCGGCCTTGAAATATCCCGAAATATTAGGGTACCAGTTCCTCAAGGATTATCCCTATTTCCTGCCATGCTTCATTGCATCCACGTTCGCTATTATCGGTGTTTCCCTTGGATTCATTTTCCTTGAAGAGGTATGTTCCATTCTGCAGCCCACAAACCGTGTGTTATATCGAGAATCTCATGCCCATCTTAGACTCTGCCCAGCAAGCGCAACGGCAAGAAAAGCATTTCTCCTAATGCAAGTACCAATGGCGATAGCGTCACGACTGCACCAGCTCTTCCTGAGAAGCCTCTCAGTGTTTCAAAATTATTGTCGGTACCAATCATATCCGCTTTGGCACTATCTGGCTTTATGCTAAGCTATATTGGAACATCCTTTGACGTTGTATTTGTCTTGTTCTGCTACTCGCCAATTAAATCCGGCGGTCTGGCGTTCTCAGTGAGCTTTTCCCGCTCTGAACCAGTGTGATCAACTGACAATTGGAAAGGCATCACAAATCGGATACTCTCTTGCCATCGCGGGTGCTATCGGTGCTGCTATCCAACTTTGTATCATGTCCTACCTCCTTCGAACGTTTGACCCTGCGAAGATATACTGCTTCTGCATGAGCTTATGGCCTTATACTTTCCTCGTCTTGCCTGTTTTGAACCTTATCGCTCGTGCTGGCTTGGACGAGACCACTGGCGAACTTGGAACGACCGCTGTTGCTTTTCTATGGGTTGGTATCGCCTTCGTCCTCCTGTTGACCAAGGCCGCTTGTATTGCTTATGGGTACGTGTTCGTTTAGTTTTGGCTAGTCGTAGTGATCGACACATAATGTTTAGCGTTAGCATGATCCTTACCAAGGAGAACGCTCCGAATGCCGCATCACTGGGGCAGTCCAATGGCTTGGTTCAGTTTACGATGTGTTTCGCGCGATCATTCGCTCCCTTTGTGGTCAGGTATGTCTGTCCTCCTTTACATGCAGGATTGCCCTCATGTCCTTCTAGTGCTTTGTTCGCAACCTCTTTAGAGTACAACTTATTGGGCGGATACCTGTGGCTTGTCATTATGGTGATGGTCTCGTTCCTGGGCATGACGACATCGCGCAAGATCAAGCAGAGCAGTGTGAAGACGATAGGTTGATTGGTCCGTGTCCAACAAAAGACCTACCGCGATAGGTGGTGGGCAGTCACATTCTATATTCCCAAGGCATCACATATCACGACACCATCATGACTATCCACATCCATTTCAATCTTTGCTCATATACGTATCTCTCGTCGCTGTGATCCACAAGCTATGCTTTTCTTATAAGAACATCTCCATACCATCGAAACGTGTCTGTCCCGATAGAACCTGTATTCATTCCTGTATATTGACAAATATGATATACCACATAGGTGGATTGAAGGAGTGCTTAGGCACTTCAGCTATAGCTTGCTAGCATCGCTATTCGGTTCTCCAAGAGCGTATAGCGCCTGCAACTCCGTTGCATACTTTGCAAATGCGTCCTTGCGGCGGACCTTGAATGTCGGAGTCAAGGTATTATCCTCGATGGAAAACGGATCCAAGCTGATGTGGAGACGCTTAATCGTCTCAAATCTATTGAAGCTAGTTAGTGTGCCTTATCCAGAGATCCCAAGTCTTCTTACCCAGCCAGACGATTCTTCATCGCCTCTTTATTGAGAACGGTGAGGACCTGAGCTACTACTCGGGGGTCCTTGATAGCTTTCTCTAGTGCTGGGATGTCATCAGATGTTACCTTCTCGCCAAGAACCCTTGACACTAGTGGAGCCAGAGTCACTGGGTCTGGGATCAGCACAGCCAGCAGGTACGATTGCAATGAATCGCCATGGACAAAGATCTGCTGCACGAGTGGGCATGCAACGTACATGTTCTCGATTTTCTCGAGAGCGACATATTCGCCTTGTGAAAGTTTCATAATATTCTGTGTCATACAATGAGGTCAAGGCGATGGTGAATGAGAGGAAACTTACTTTAACACGGTCGACGATCTTGAATCGGCCTTGCGGGTCGACCTCAGCAACATCACCGGTGTGAATCCAACCGTCTTGCAAGGTGTCCCGGGTGTTTTTCTCGTCTGTCGTAATGCTGAGCATTTAACACCAATGCACGTGTTCGCACACGACCTCACCTTTATAATATCTTGTGAAACAATTGGGACCACGGACACAAAGTTCGCCTCGAGGATTGGGCTTGTCCTCGACCGTGTAATTCATAGATGGCACGTCGACCAATTTCAATTCGTTCACGGGCTGAGGAGGACCGATGGTTCCTCCACATTTAGGGTCCGCCTTGAATGTATGCGTGCAGACACCACAGTTCTCAGTCATTCCGTAACCTAATCCGTTCATCAGACGATAATTAACAATCGAACATGAGCGATCGTACCTTCTGTAATTTCGCAGAAGAGTGCGATCTTCAGGAAATCGATAACCTCGGCACTGATAGGTGCAGAGCCCGTGCTGACAAGTAGCAGGTTTCCGCCGAGCACAGCACGAACCTTTGAATAATATATCAGGTTGTAACTAGGAATGTGAGACGGTCGATGAGAACATACCTTCCGGAAGACAAGAGCATCCCAGAATGGGTGGGTACTGACACCTGTGGCATGATACTGGTCGAGTTTTGCGCGCACAGCTGCCCGGAAGAGAGCGCCCTTCAGTCCAGGGACATTGCCAGCAGCCATGGCAGACTGATAGACTCGATTCAATACACGAGGTACAGCAGGGAAGAAGTGAGGCTTCAGCATCTGCGCATCTTCAAGGAGACGCAAGTTATCGCCAGTGGAAAACCCGATACATCCACCAATGGCCAAGGTTGTGAGTTCGACCACACGCTGCAAGGAGGTCAGTATATAGAAGACGAGGTGATCAAGACCAACGAACCTCATAAATATGAGCCAACGGCAAGTAAGAGAGAACGCTGGTATTCGGAGAATATTCCATACCAAACATGTTGGAATATGCGGACGATGCAAGGTTCCCGTGAGTAAGTACCACACCTAACGAGCAAGAATTCAAGTGTCAAAAGGAAAGAGAATGGATGTCCCACACCTTTGGGTTGGCTAGTGGTGCCCTGAAAATACCTGGTTGATGATGCTTAAAATGTAATACGAAAGCTACGTACTGAAGTATAGCATAGGGATGCGACTGTGTCGGGTGAAACGGGAATTGGCGGCATCAATTGCTCTTCACCATACTTTTCAACTACGGAGCATGTAAATAGCAGGTAAGGTAGAAATCAGGTGAAATACTCACATTCCGAGAATTCTTTGACCTGCACACCGACAGTCTCTCCCCAAGCCACCAAGGCTTTGCGAGCATCTTGACTCAACTCGTCGAAGGACACGATCATTTTCATGACTGCAACCTTGGGAGCTAGTTTCAATAGCGCAGGTATGTGATCAACCGTAGTGAAAATGATACTAAGATGCGCATGATTGATACTAAACAATCACGAATGTTGAGAGGTTTAAATGAGATAGCGGCAACATTACATACATATATTCTGTAGCGAAGTCATCAGCACAATAGGAAATGGCCCAAGAAAATCAACTTGCCTACAGAATCCTTGCCAAGAGTATCGTAGAGACCAACCCCGACTTTGTTGTAAGCATGTAAAGCGAGTTCAACAAGTTGCCACTCTGTGGTGATTGGTGAGAACTGAACTTGGAGTGAGAAATGACATGCATACCTGGCCTATTTACTGACCATATACCAACGGTTTGGAGGTCCTCGCCCTGCAGTTCACCCTGCGAGAATAACCTGTGGAGAGCACTACCGATGCGACGCCTGCGACCATCCACCTGTTTGTACGTCTGCCACACATAAGGGCCGAATTTGAGCGGATTGTTTGACACTAACGGACGGTGACCGAGAAGTCTAGAGTCCGGATTGATGTTGTAACCATTGTCGAAAATATCAGGAAGTGTTGGTAGGACGTCGACGTCTACAAGACCATATAATGCTGAAGTGTCATGAGAGAAAATGAGCGATTAAAAAACACGCGATGCTCAATCCTGTACTAGATAGGACTCACCATTCCGATAGTGGGCTTTGAAAAGCTTCGATGTTAATGAAACGTCCGCTGACGAATACGTGGGACGTACCGGTTTGACCAGGACGTTTGGTGCCAGGAACAGCGATGGACTGAATGCTGTAGTCGAACTTGTCTGGAAAATCTATGGTCGTTACCGTCATTTTGAACTAGGAGATGGAAATTCAGGTTGTGACGGTAAGAAGACAAGGTACAAGCTGACAGTAAGACTTGTTGGATGCTTAACTTGGCAGACTCAATTAATATTCGGTTGGATTTCACCTGCAACCGGTGACGTAAATGAAGCCGGATTGCCGGGCGCGCAGTAGTTTGGTGTCAATGGCCGTTCATTCAAGTCAACTCGTACACCGGTCGTTGGCATCATCGCGTTCGCTTTGCAGATAACCAAATGCATAGTCTATAGATGCGGCTCTGGAGAAGTGTCGAAAGAAGTTTGACCGATATCGATAGACAACGATCCAGCCACTCGAGAATCACAGAATCACAAGCATTCGGACCGGAATCGTGGCTAATGCAGCCTATGCGCAAAATATCAGACGATATGTGTTGGCAGCATGTACGTATGTAGTGCCACTTCTACTTCTCAATTGTTTCCCATGTTCATTAAATCCGCGAAGCTCTAACTGGTGCTACCAAGATAGATATCCCCAAGTGTGTTAGGCTGGCCACTGACATCAAGAAGGTCTATGGTGATAGAAAGGTCATACTGAGACACGAGCCGCTTGAAGGGATGTTCTTACTGTAGTAGGAACCTGCCTCCTGGCGCTGCCATGATCATAAGTGCTATTAGCTCATGCTCTGCGGAAGCCGTGCCTGAAGATACTTACGTAGAGTGCAAACCAGGCATATCCTTCAATCCAATTCTGGCCATCAAGATAGGCTATTGCATTAGTGCAGAAGTCTTCCACCTCTATAAACGTAGGAGGTAAGTACCATCAATAAAAGGTACACGAAGCACTGATGCATCAGAGATCACAGACAACTCACCGTTAACGTTCGAAGAAGTAGACGCAAACTCCGTGACCCACACTGGCGATGAAAATTTGTCATAGAACAACTCGACATAGTCTTTGAAATTGTCGAGGCCATCACCGTACCAGTGAATAGGTATGAAATCAAACGTGCATTCAGTGCAGTTTCCAAAAAATTGAGATAACCAAGGAATTCCTGATGGTGCGCTGGACACAGCGGGACTACCGAGTCGGACGCCATGTGCCTTCAGAGGTTGAATATACTGCATCCATAATGACGCGGCAGTCATAGGTGTAATATCCGACTGTGAACTAAGGTCAGGTTCGTTGAAACCCTAGATTGTCAGTAGAAATTCGGCTGAGTGAGATATCTTCTCTCGACTAGGTGAACCTACTAAGATGGTCTTCGCATTCTGAGCCTGCACTTCGGCCATAAAATTATTGGCATTGTCTTCACCCCATTGCATGGGGATATAGGTCATGTCTGTGTTTTTTAGATAGCTTGGCGCGGTACTGCCCCAGTTATATACCCAAGAGACCTGAGTGCCATCAGCGACAGCAATGTCGCCAGTATTGTCGGAATCAGCAAACGCCAGACCGCGTTTTGTGGCAGCGAATGACCCACTCGCCAGTGCCACGACTACGCAAGACGTTGTAAAGGTGAAGTTAAACATTCTAGAGAAATGTGCTGGAAGCAGTCTGATCACGCCCTCGCTATTTGAATGCTCAGGATGGGAAGGAAGGCTATCGCATCTATTTGTAGTCTGCAGGCGATTCTCGATGGCTCGACCTCCCCTGTGTGAGACCATCCGTGCTGCTCAGGGATAGAAATGGAATGTTCTCGCCGCGTTGCCTGAGCTCGTCATGATAATGCATGACAGGTCGCACAACACACTGTAAAGTAAGATATGTATACTTGATATGGTCGTGAATCGATATGCAATGCATCCGGTGGGAGAATATACGCACCTACGAGAGCCTCGAGAAGGTCGGAAACTTGTTCAGGATCCGCGTCCACTGTCGCGCCCAAGTGGGTACAAATACTGCCTTTAAATCGAGTTCTTTTTGAGATGGCTGAAATGGCGCAACTCGCAAGATAGGTTTGGCCAAGAAAAGGTTCCACCCCTGCTCTATCTGAGGTAGGGCTCATGCACAACTTGAAATCACCTGTGTGACGCCTTGCTACTGAATGTGACCCGATGCCTTACTAATAAGTAAAAACGAAAAAAAAAAAGGCTGATCCCGCGGAAGCAATGCGCTTGACCTCCAGCACTCCCAGTGTCTGTGCGC